CACACACACACACACACACAGCTTTTGGGAAAGAAGAGGGATTGTTGATTTCTTGATGGTAAGAATACTTCCATAAATTACAAGAAATGAATATTCGTAAGAAACATCAAGTTCCGCACTGCCCCCATGCAACCAGCAATGAAAGTCCCAGGACTTAACAGCAAAAAAATTTGAGAGATTATCAAAACCAGAAATTCAATCATGATATTAACTATATTTCTGGTCTAGGGAATGGCCATAAAATATATCTTGCCCACTTATTTCGGATAGAGTTAATTACAAATTTGGCACCCAAATGATAGTGAAATGTATAAATCAGTACCTAAAGAAAAACAAATGTACAATTTGCACCTTGAACTTTCAAATAGTGTACCATGTTAACTCAAACTCTAACACCGTTAACTTAGCTTGCCTATGTCGCATTTGACTGGTATAATTACACCATGTTATTGTCATGTGTTGAATAAAAATGGTAAATATTTTCTGAAATTTCCACATGGATGCCATGTGGTATCCAACAATTGACCAATCTTGTATGAGATTTTACCGTCCAAGTCAAAGAAATGCAATTTTATAACTAACGTTAAATAAGATGTTGATGGTTCCATGTGGTGTACACATGACATGATAATATTGGTCAAACCCACATATATAGGCAGGTTGTTTTAGTGGCATTAGAATTTGTGTTAAATGATACATGATTTGAAAGATCAAGGTGCAAATTATAATATTTTTCTTAAAATACCAATTTATACAATTTTGCCAAAGTTCAGGAACCAAACATGTAATTAACTCTTTTGAAATATAATGCCTAAATTTCAATGCTATGCACTAACAAATGCTATTGTACATTAAACATGCAAGTGGTACCTGTTAACAATGCCACCATAAAGTAGCTGGCGGAGCTGAGTATCACTTCCCACATTCATATATTTGGCATCATCACAATATCTAGATGCCCAGGTGCGAAACCTATTAGCAGCAATTTCTTGCTCTGCTTTAGCCACCTTCTCTAACTGAGCAAGATAAATTCGATCAACCAACATACCCTCATGTTCCAGGTTAACAAGAAGCTCACCAAATGGTTGCCAGTACTCTTTGTAGAAGTGGTACATGGACTTCCCAGAAACAGGTTTACCATCAAATACCCAAGACATGCTTGATAGTTTGCTTTTCAAGCTCTCATAAAGTCTCAGTGTGCTTATTGCATCTAAGGCAGAATAAGAAATCCATAATTTGCGTTCTTCCCGCTGTAGCTCTTCAACAGGAGCAATGGTGATCATTTTTCCCTCAGATCCATCTTTTTTCAATTTTTTCTTGCCAAAAATGGTTTTCATTGATATTTTACCAATTAATTCATTTTCTTCTTTGCGCCATTTAGTCCTGTTCATAACATTTTTATCACCTGTAAGCGCTTCAAGCGAATAACCACCTGCTGTTCGTCTTGATGAGTCCCACAACCGTGCCATATGCATTGTGTCAGCATGAAATCCAGAAACCTCAAACCCATAGTTCCTAATGACATGATTATCAAAGCTATAATTGTGCCACACCTATAGAAAGCCCAGGTGAATATATCAATATCAAGTTTATTTCAGAACTAAGGATGATCAAGTGCTCCAATGGACTATGCAATAATTAGCAAATCAGAAAGTGCAGCAGATCAGGAGAAATACAAGGATGGAAGACAAATGAGTGAGTGCAAGGCCTACTACACCTTTTTGATAGACTGATCTTTGAAAAACAGCTCAAATTCCTTTAGAAGAGCCCTGCCACCACCATCCTGAACATCTACCCAGATACAGGTCTTCCCATTTCCAAAATCTGCATTTTCTCCAGAATAAATACTGAAACATGTTATCTCACCATGATCAACAGGAGTCTCTTGCTTCACATCAATCTTAGACACCTGCAAAGACTCTATCATCAGCAATTAGACAGGAGTTCATTTACATGCAAACTGGGTAGTGCTTGGAGCAAATGCATGCAAACTACAACATGCAGCATGCACACAGCACATATATAAGAAAATAGTAAAAAGAATGTATATTAAGCATAACTTACCTCAGTATCACATGCATGAACAAGATGACTGTATTGAGTTGTAAGCATCTTAACAACTTCCCTTGCAACAGAGACATTATCTACAACAAGAACCTGGTCATAAATCCTAGCAAGCCGCTTGCTGATATCTTCTTGAGAAACTACATTATCTTCTTCAGTGCTGGCAACCCCACTTTCATTGGCACGGTCCCTTCTGGTTACATTAGGATTCGTATGTCCTGTGTCTTGGTTGGCATCTGAAGCCGTTCCTTTCAACAAGCCATTACTTGAAACTTCTGTTTTAGTTGAACCTTTTAACTGCTTTGAACCATTTATTCTATTGGCAGATATATTTTTGGCTCTAGAAATTTGTTTATTGTTAGTTGGATGATCTGGACAATGGCTCTCAGACAGAAAATTACTATCTCCACTGTTTCCGATATCTTTATTGTCATCCAAGACCAGCCCCGGCAACGATCCATTACTTAAAACTTCAGTCGAACTTGAACCTTTTAGCTGCTTGGAACCATTTATTCCACCAGTAGCTATATTGTTGAATCTGGACATTTGTTTATTACTGGTTGGCTGGGGTGGACAACAACTCTCAGAAAGAGATTTATTTTTTCCACTATTTCTAGAAACTAATTCTTCTTTATTATTTGTTTTAAATAATGAGCCAGTAAGCTTCAGATTCAAGTTGTGTTGGTCACTGGAAGAAGAACTACTACCTTTAAAGCTCTCTTTTGACATCTCCTTATATTCCTTTATCCTGCGAGCTTCTTTCTCCCATGAACGCTCAGTGCTGGGAATGCTAGTTTTTTTTGGAGTAAAGGTAAAAGCATTAGCTCGAAATGATGTCACCCTAGACTTTTGAAAACTTGCTGGGCTTTCATTGTTTCTCTGGTCCACAGTCACTCCTTTGCACTTCTTATCAGAAAAATACTGATCCGGGTCAGGGTGGACCATCCTAGCATATTTAGAAGCAGCTACCTTAAGTCTCATATCTTTGGGATGATAGCAATGGCTGGAACTAGTTGACATGGTTGCATTAAGAAAAGCACATTGAACACTCTGCATTGTGCACATTTCTCGCCTACAATGTAAAGAAAAGCAAACAAGGGCAGAAAGACCAATTAATTTGAATGAAGAATTTCTTCAGGCATGCTAGCTATGAAAAACTATACAACAACAAGAAAAATATTCCAGATTTCATGCAAAGTCCAAATTGCACTGAGTTCAGCAGTATCAAATCAACAAAACAATAATACTTTCCTTGGCTCCACTTTATTTGCATTTCCTTAAAGAAACTTACACCCTTGAGACTCGGGCAGTACCACATTTCCATTCCAATTTCTTATCCATCTCTTCTCTTCTCTCACATTTTTCCACCACATTCTATCATAAGCCCCAAAATTCTCTAAAACAGGCAAACAGCAACTAATGACAGAAAGGTCCCCTCCCACTTGAAAAGAAAAATGGATATCAATAATCTGAGGAAATAACAGATAAAAAGGGCCGAAAACAACAGAAATTCATGGCAGAAAACAGGAAATAAGGTAACTTTTCCCAGTATAAACCCCAAAAACCCCTCTAAAACAGGCAACAGCAGCTAATGACAGAACCAAAACAATACACAAAAAAAGAAGGATATATTCTTTAAAAGGAAAAATGGGTATCGATACTCTAAGAAACCGGATAAAAAACCCCAAATATAACACACAGACAAGAAAGAGAAGAAGTTAAAGAGCGAAACCTGTGCCAGGCTCTAGAAGCCAAAAAGAAGTGCTTAGAAGACGAAGAAGAAGAAGAAGGCCAAGGACAAGACCGGGAAAACCAAGAAGAGGAAGGGCAAAATGGTCTACCCAAAGGGGTAGTAGTAGCAGCAGTTTGGGAAGTAGAAACAACCCCCATAGCAGCCATGAAGTCCGCAAGTCTGGCTAGCTTGCCGCTAGTGTTGTTTACTACACAAGGAGCCGTTTTTGCTTGCTGTTTATGTTGTTGGTATTCTGGGGTGGCAAAGAAGGTAAATTTCTGGGTCTTGGAGGGGCAAGTCCTTTGGTAGGTCTTTCACAAGTTGGACTGTGACTGTGAAAGTAGCAGAGCAGAGGCCATGAAGACAGAGAAAGAGAAGAAGAGGGAAATACAGGGACAGCAGCTGAAAATGCCTAAAACCCTTCTTTTCCTTCTAAAGAGTAATTAAAACCCTCCATAGCCCAACTCCTACACTAAATATTAACTGACCATAGGAATTTGGAACATTTATTTTTTATTTTATGGCTGGCAAATATTTGTCCTTTTTTCCATTTTTATCTTATTTTTGTTGAGTTTGGGATTAGAATATAGAGATATTGCATATGTGCCATTATTATTTGGATAAGTTTTTTCTAAAAAAATGAAAAAAAAAATTGTAAAAATATTTGAAGATTCATTTTTTTCCTTCATAAATTAAATTTAATTTGATTTTTTTTGAATTATTATTCTATAGACCGATGTTCTAAATTTAAGAATTTATTTTATGTATTGAACTCAGTTTAGAGTTAAAAAAATAGAACAAATATATAAAAAAACTTCTAAACTCTTTATTTTTGTAAGCATTTCTAAAGAAATTAGGTGGTCAGTGCAATATCTTTCAGCAACGAAAATGGCTGATGGATTGGATTTAAACATTGATAAAAAGGTACGGTTTACATGTATGCATATACACATATGAAGCTGCTTATCATGCTAAAGTTTTACCTGGTACAAAAACGAAGGACACAAGTTTCACAAATTCTTACCAAATTAAACCCAAAAAAGGGAACAGAAAAACAAAGTTGAGTTAATGGGAATGAGGTTGGTTTGCACCATTGCAGCCTTGGGGGCAGTAACTTGGTAAAGGTTCCTTCAGAGAGGCCACAACTATGAACCCCATCAGCTCTAGCAGAGCAGAACCAGAAAGGATTTGGAAAAATGAAGATTTGGGTTCACTCCATGGGAGTGCAGGCCAGCTGCAACATGATATGGAAGAGTTTGATGAGCTCCATTAGCACTTTTTTTTTTTCTCTCTGTTACCCTCTTCTTGTACCTTCTTTTATTGTGAGGTTTTTTTCTACATCTCTCCATCGCTATGCCTACATGGAGAAACTGATTCTTATCTGTCAACTGTTTCCTCCTTCTTCTGCACCCTTGTTTGCTGTTACTTCTTCTGGACCCTTGTTTGCAGTTAGGTACTCGAGAGCGGTTACCACATCACTCATCAAAGGCCTGACAGCTGCTTCTTCCTGCAGACACATTGCTGCAACTGCAAGTGCCTGGTGGAGACCCTTAACGGGATAATCCTCTTCAAGCAATGGATCAGCCATTAATGTAAAATTCCTTCTGTCTTTGAATAAGGGTGTTGCCTGCAAGAGAGGGTTATAAGTTACTGTTTAAGGAAACCCTTGCTATATTAGTGCTTGCAGATTAAATCAAAAGAAGAGATAGAGTTTCATGCTTGTAGATATCTACGATTGTTGGGATGACTAAAACTATCCAAACTTACCCAAGTGACAAGATTCTGTTCTTCTGTTGGTCTTGAGTTGTCTATGACTCTTCTTCCTGTGATTATCTCCAAAAACACTACTCCAAAGCTGTAAACATCGGATTTTGTTGTCAACTGGCCTGTCAGTGCATACTCAGGTGCACAATAACCATAGGTTCCCATAACCCTGGTGGATACATGTGACTTATCTCCAGTTGGACCAAGCTTTGCAAGTCCAAAATCCGAGAGCTTTGGATTGAAGTCCTGGTCAAGTAATATGTTTGATGCTTTAAAGTCGCGGTATATCACTGGGGGATCAGCTGTTTCATGCAAGTATTCAAGGCCTTTAGCAGCACCTACTGCAATTTTCATCCTGGTATTCCAATCCAATGGCTTCTTGTCTGGAGGCAAATCTGAAAGGCAGAGTTACAAACAACTGAGTCTGTTCAACAAAACAAAACCTCAAAATACAAAAGGAAAAGGAAAAAGTTCAAAAGACCGAGTTCTGGATCACATTATCTAAGTCTGAAGTGGTGTTGCTAGTGTTATATCAATAATGCAAAACAACTTAAGTGTTAAACATACCTAGGAGGTGATCCTCCAAGGAGCCATTAGCCATGTATTCATAGACCAGAATCCTTTGATCCCCATCAGCGCAATATCCAACCAAATTTACAAGGTTAGGATGGTGAAGCAGACTCAACATCAAAACCTCAACCAGGAATTCTCTGTTTCCTTGATATCCATTTCTGTCAAGTTGCTTGACAGCAACTACCTGCGTAGGATGGCATAACAATATGAAAATTACCAACTAAATATCAGGCAAATTATATATGCTTTTGTTAAGACTACAATTCTTTCCTTCCAACTCTTTTTAATGTTAAGGTATAGAGAGATAAGATTTCAAAATGGTACTTGATCTGGATTTTCAACATGCCCTTTGTAGACCTTCCCAAACCCTCCTTCACCGAGCTGATTGTCAGGGTTGAAGTGTTCAGTGGCGCTGCATAGCTCACGATAATTAAAAACCTTAGCAGTTATGTTGCCTTTACCCATTTTTGTTATTTCTTGGGTGATATATCTCTTTCTGCTGCTATCTGCCAAAACAAAGAAAAAGAGTTGTTCAGACATGAATCTAGCCCCTGGACTTTTCAGCCAAAAACAGAATGGTTACAGAAACAACATAATGATTATTGCAACATTATCAAAGTCTTTGTCATGATGATATGGGACCTCAACAGGGTGAACAAGAATATTAGAAATGAAGCTGAACATGGCTTGACAACAGTTAAAATATTTATTAAATGGTGAATTCATCAATTGGAATGTTGTCATGGTTTTAATTGAAATAAGAAGCAGATAAATCTTTAGACTAACAATTTTTTTTGCATACCATGCATGAATTGATTGAGATTTGATTAAAAGAAAAAAGAGTCAGCAACTATGCAAAAATGTGTTCCTCTATTACATGCTGATGGCTGACAAAACAAGGATATTTCAGATTCAGTCAGGGTTTTGTGGAATGAAAGATGATCTACAGGTAAAAATCTTTTACCACTTTTGAAGGAAATGTTGGCAAATGAAGCCAGAGTTTTGGTGTCATTGTATTTCTTGATGCTTTTCTTTAATGACCTTCTGGTTAGTCTCTCTTCTGACATGCAACATGAAAAACAGTTCATCTTGGTCTCCCTTTACAATCTCAGGCCAGCCACCAAATTCTTGAACCAAAGATTTAGTGGTAGTCTCAAGTATTAAGAAAATTGACAGCTGGGCTCCGGGAAACCTTACCCCTGAAGGAAACCAAACTCTATCTGGTCCTCCAGGAGGGCACAAGGAAAATTTTCTCATAATGATTGTTTTGCTTCTTCTCTGTCCGAATCCATTGAGCTCAGATAGCCAAAAATGACTTGGTCAGATTTGCTAAATATGGAAGCAGACAGATATTCTGGCCATTTCTTAACTACCTCTCTCTCTATCAGTAATTTCTCAAGTCAAAAATGGTTTTCTGTTATGAGGCTTTCTTTCCTTGTCTTCCATTCCACTAATTCTTATCTTCCACTTGTCAGGTCAGCCTGACCCAAAATTTTGTTTATCTGGTCCTGACTTAGGCAAGTGCCAAGTGTCCATTTTAAACAAGTTTAGTTTAACTCAACCTGTGTAACCATTCTGCTTTCTAGATTGTGATGTCCTATAAATTAAGTGATGATCATGGTTCAAGCCTCGAAGTGTCTAGAGATATGGATTGATGATATCATCCAAAAAATTGTTATTGAAGAGATGTAAGTTTCCTTTCCTTGATAATGTCGATTGAATGCTGTTTTCAGTTTTACCAGTTTGGGTTGTACGTAAACTTGTTGAGGCCTTACCAACATATCAAATTGCATTTGGTATGGCATTGACTGTTTGATTATTTTTTTAGGCAGTAGATAACATATCTAATTGCATCTCACATCATGCTTCTTGAGAATGGGAGGCTGCTTGTGTTTATTCTCTTAGAGTACTGCCTACATATGCTACTAAACAAGAAATTGTTGTAAATCCGAACTGCTATCTTCTGTCTTCCCGAAATCCTGCTTCAACACATTCTTTTACCATCTGTTTCATATAACCAAAATCAAGCTCTAAAGAAACTGAGACACCTCTCTGCAACAACAGAAGGCAACACAGAAGATTTCATGATAATAATATCCAACATTGTACTTTAATTTCAATAACATTCATAATACTGTTAAAGAACATCATGTGAAACTCGAGTGTGGAATTTGATTTACATAAAACAAAATTAACCAGAAGAGATAATCAAGTTTTACCATATGTAATCAATGATAGAAGCTGAGGGATGCATTATATCTCATTCAGACATCTAGAGGAGCCCAATTGACCAAATACTTCTATGCAAATTAATCAGTAGTTAATGTTTTCTTCTGAAACCTTATATTAAACACCTATGCAAAATATATACAGAATCAAATATATAGTTAGGCTCTGGCCCAGGTTCTGTTTAGCTGTCTTCTTTGATTGGATTTCTCTCAAACTTGCCTGCTGCTTTTAGCTCAGCAACCACTCTCTCTATCCTAGCAACCCGAGCTTCAAGTCTGGATGCTACCATGTTGAGTGTGGTGATACTGCTTTCACTATACCTGCTGATGTTCTCATTATCATACGATGGTAACCCAATTTCACTCTCATTTGCCTCTCCCCTTACTCTTGCTGATCCTGCATTCTGAGCCTTGATATGTACAACCTCTTGCATTGGTACCAAGGGCAACTCCATCTTTGCAAATCCTCCATTATGTGCTATTGAAGGTGTGAGATACTGAACATTAGCCAGAGAGCATTTATCATGACCAAGTGGTCTAGTAGTGACACTAGCTTTCTTGCTGGACTCCTCAAAAGCTTCAGGTTTTACTTCCTCAACAAAAGGCTCAAATTTCACCTTGTTCAGTTTGAGGGGAAAACCAGGAGGAACACTGGCATCATTTTCCCCCTTTTTTGCTTTCACCCATGGTATTCGTTCTGGCCTCTTCCTTGAACTCCTTTTTCTTCTCACTATACCCTTTATCACATCTGGGTAAACAACCATTGACAGCTTCTTCCACCACTCCAAGTATCGGAAGGTAACCTCAGACTCAAAGAAACGAGATGGAATATACAATTTTCTATCGTTGATTGGTCTCAGGTAATTGTTCCAAGCAATTTCTGGAGTCTCATTGAACCGAGCAATGTGACAAGGTATATCTTGATCAATTCCGAACTGCATTGCTACTCGATGTGGCAGGTACTGCTGTACACATCCTGATCCTAATCCAACTAACTCAGAAGGCCTCAAACATAGAGCAAAAGATAATAATTCTTTATTCAAGCTTTGATCAATTGAAATCCACTCTTCTTTTTCCTTGTAAAATTCAGGGAACTGCCAGTAATTAACAACTTTAGCATAAGGCCTCCAATCAAAAGTCTCACCCGCTGAGTCCAAAACCATCCTCGCATTCTCAACTTTCACAATTTTTACATTGCTCCATCTAGCTGATCTGGGTTCAAAGTTGTCGATCACATTAGGCTTTGGCTGAAATGCTGGGAACCTTTCCCACGCCCAAAGTTGAACCAACTGCATTGGTGACCATAGTGTAATGGCCAACACGCAATCATCAACCTCACCACCCTTAAATTTAGTTGAACCAACAATGGTTTCTTTCAACAAAGTCAAGTCCCTATAGATACTGGCCAAAACAGCTGGTCCTAGTGCCATAGCTTCCCCCCTAGCTAAACGGCATGCAATTGGAAAGACGCTCTTCCTAATTATTCCATCAATATTTTGGAAAACAAACCTTGATAACCACAATGAAAGTAATGCTTCATGCTCAATATCTCTCCCACTTCCCATGAAAATATTTATCCACTCTGTTTGCCTGACCCTTCTAGCTGCTCGATCCCTTTGAATTTTCCTGCATTCTTCAAGAAGTTTGTCTTCAACTTCCTTGAGTTCTTGGCTGTCACCAGGGCATGTAACAGGGAAGCCTATAACAGAATAACCTCCCAAAACCATCACATCCTCTAAAGATATTGTTGCTTCACCCCAGGGAAAGATGAAAGTGTTGGTCTCAGGGTTCCATTTTTCTGCCAAGCCAATTACCAAATCATCATATTTTTTTATTAAGCAAGTTGAACTCATTATTGCTTCGAAGATTCCAGCCTTTTTCCAAACAGGTTGATACTTGGGACGCAGGATATCAACCCAAAAAAGCCAGCTTTTCAGTGGGGTTCTCGAGCCATTAAAGCAGACCTTTAGAGGCCAGTTTTTAGGCTCAAAAGTGTGAGGTAGAAAGGAACCAGAGAGGGAAAAATGGTTTGGGATTGGTTCATCCATGGAAGATAAAGTTGGTTTGAGGAAATGGGCTGCTCTCGAATTTGGTTTTCCATCAGAAAAAGGTGAAACCATGAGCTCTTCTCTTTCTTCAACTATGGTTTCATCTGCTGTTGGTTCCTCCATTTTTTGTGTATCAAAGGATTCTCACTGGAAATGGACTCACTTTATAGAAGAAAGTATTAGTAAACAAGAAACACTTGTATCACACTTTTCTCCCCATTGAACACCAAGGTTTCTGTTTGCTTATGAAGAGAAAGAAGGCTCTACTAAAACAAAATTACTAGTGGTAATTCACTTCTCTTTTTGTTGGCTCTTCGAGAAAATGGGAGCAAATCAATCCTCTGCATGCTTTTGCCATCCTAGGCCGACCTAGGGAGTCAGAGATTTTTAACAGCTGGACAGTCATGTACTTGATTACAGCTACCCTTCTGTTACAGTTATTTGTTATCTCAATGATAATTATAACAAAGAAAAAGAAGAAAAAAAAAAGAAAAAAGGAAAGGAAAATTGAAGGGTCTTGAAGCAGCAATGGTACAAATTTTACAGTGGAGGTACGTAGGTGGCCTTGCAAGCAAAGATTCCATGTAAAATTTGTCTGATTCAAAAATGAGAGGCATTTCTGTCACAGAATGTAGAACACCAGTGAAATGCAATGCCACAGTGTCAGTTATCAGAGTGGCATTCAGGTAATAAAATCCCTTTGCCCAGGGTATTCTATAAGGAATTCCAGCTTGTAGCTTTAGCAAGTGGCCTTCCAATTCCTAGAAGAAACAAGAAGAAGAAAGAAATAGAACCCAACAGCATTGCTATAATGGGAAAATCATAAATCCTGAAAAGGTTGAGATTGGAACGGTTATGAAAACAGGGACTGTTATTTTGTTTCATAGAAATTTTGAGTTAGTGACAGGGATTAGTAGAGAATTTTGGGTACTAAGATATAAGTTAGTTAAGAGTATGACTTGTTTTGTTCTGTTATTATTCCTTTACTATATCAAATTCATGGAAATTAGCATTGCATCAGTTTCACTGCTTCTTAATTAAAGAATCATTAAAAACCAGGATTCAATACTTGTCTTTTTTTTCCAATTAAAGTTCAGTGCAAATGGCTACACCACATGACAGCTGGATGTCTCAGGAGAGTTTACATTTCAAGTTTATTTTATCTCTCAACCAGTCAATGGTCACAGAGCAATTTGTCAAGTTAAGATCAGAAATGGTGAAAGAGCTATTGCAGTGGAAACTTAATAGTATTCCAATCTAATGAGAGAGGAAGCCATGCAAATAAAGGAAAAGAAGAAATAAATGAAGTTCAATGGTGGGTCTAGTTCAAATATAGTCAAGCTAAAAACAAAAACGTCGAGTTTAGCTCATGTGCACCATTTCAATTCTAAAGATCAGTGTTTTTAAAAGAAAAAACTGTTACATAATGCCTCAGTTTTGTTTGTAGTATTTTGTGATGGAATAATAGTATAATTGATATTAGAGTACCCTAAGATCTCAACTAGATTTTTAAGAGTAAGTAAGCCAGCAACTAAATTTAGTTCAAGAATTAGATCATCCAGATAGAGAAGGCAAATGGAAAGACCTTTCTGAGAAAACAGATATGATTGTTGAAATAAATTTACTCATAAGACTTTTGATTATATCAAGTGGCAAAGAAAAGAGGGAAGAAGAGAAGAAGTTGGATATTATCGAAGACCATCTAGTCTGACACTTAGTGCTCTTGTGATTTCAGTTGCATCCTGAATAGAAGCCAAGAACTAGCTGCTGTTGTGTAAGATAATATGCAAGTTCCATATGATCCTCGGATTTTGATAAAGTATATGCAAAAGAGTGGAAGTAGTGAATATGAAGCAAAGAGGGGAAAAAAAAGATTCAAGGTGGTTATAAATACACTACTCACTAACTGAGCCAAATTTTCACCCCTAAACCTCAGTGAAATAAGATAATAAGCAGTTGTATAATTGCACACTGCTTAAAACAGAATTACTAAAGGTGGAAGCAATTCAAACAACTAAACTAAAGTTGCTTGATGTAATCAATGAAGTTTACTTGTTAGAATGCAGCATATTTTTGTGATTTCCAAAAAGATAGTGGTGGATTCATGAGTCCTGCAGTTTGCAGATGATGTTCATGACTTACAATGAAATACATAATTGCATTAATTTAATACTATGTCCTCAATTCAGCATGTATAAGGACTTAATCCACCAATGACCTCAGAGTAATGTGTCAAGCTAAGATCAGAAATGATAGAGGAATTAAGCAAATAAGGTTAGTGTTGAATCTCCCTCTATTTTTTTTTTTTTTTGGAAAAGTGAATCTCACTCTATTAACTAATCTAATTCTAAAGGAAGAAGCATGCATAAATAAAAACAAAAATCAGAAGCATAAGGAAAGAGAAACAATAAATTTTCATATAGTGTTCCCCATTGTCTATTGTAAAATAACCTTACATTTCATACTAGCTGTTCAACCTTTCTAGTCTAAGTTTCAACTAGGATACTAGCTATGGTAAGAAAAAACTTAGCTCTATTCATGTGCTGCGTGTCAATTCTGGGATCAGTTACTTCCAAGAGAAAGTTGTAACCAAATGCATCAGTCTAAGCTGCAAGAACTAGCATTAATTAGATAATCTACTGATTCTATGTGCAGTGTATGCAAATAAAACCAAGGTTTTTGTACTACTGTGGTTCAGATGAAATTCCCCTAAATTGATTCTCCAATTTCTTGCGTAATCTTTTTTCCTTCAGCTCAGCAGACAGTTTTTCAAGCCTGCAAATCCGAGCTTCAAGCTCAATTGATACTGTTACAAGATCATGAGTGCTACTGCCTTCCGCTCCATCTTTAAGACTTGGTTTGCTATTGACGTCATCTGCCACCACTCCTATTGATTCTCCTATTGAACTTTCATTTCTTGTAACCTCTGCATCCTGTTTCCCTTCTGATTTGATATTTTTAACATATTCTTTACCTGCAATGAAAGTTGACACATTTTGATTTTCACCAACTGATAATGACAGGACATCAACAGCCGGAGTGCAACCAATCTTGTCACCCTCATCGATATTCTCCAAGATCACATCTTCTTGGTCCTTTACAGAAACTTGTATGCTAACTTGATCTGATTTCATATATGGTTCTAGCTTTGCAAGTGTTTCAATTTCTTTAGTTGAAGATAGCAAACTTTGAGTACCTAGGGGAGACTCATTCTCACCACCCATCACAGTTTTTTCACCATTACACTTAGCACGTGTCAACAATTCCATTACTGTTAATTGATCTTCCATGTCCTCCTCCTGAACCAGACTCCCTACTTCCACCCCTCTATCTTCATTTTCCATAGCAGAATCTCCTCTTCTAACTTCTCCACATTTCAAAGGATGATCAGGAGAAAAGAGAATGTAGCACTCTTTCTTCCTTACCGAAGCATCTGGTGATTTTCTTGGACTTCTAGGCCTCCTAACAAATGCCTTGATAGCATCACCTTGAGCCAGCATTGATTGCTTCCACCAATGTGAGTACTGTGTAGTAATATCTGACTCAAAAAGCCCAGCTGGTATATAGAACACTGCATCTTGGATTGGCCTGCTGTAATTTCTCCAAGCAATTTCAGGATTTTCATTGCATCTGACAATGCATCCTGGAAGATCTTGATCCATTCCAAACTGCATTGCAACCCGATGTGGAAGGTACTGCTCTATGCTTTCTAGTCCAACTAGCTCGCTTACCCTCAAAAACATAGCAAAGGACTGTATTTCTTCATCCAAATGAAAATCATTCAATATGTACTGTTCCTTGTCACCATAAAACTTTGGCAAAGACCAATTATTATCTGCTATAGCATAAGGCCGCCATTGAAAAGCTTTTCCGGCCGAGTCTATGGCCAACTTCACATCACCAGCATTCATCTTAAGCCTATGCCATCTTGCTGCTCTTGGCTCACCAAGTGATATTGAATTAGGCAGTGGCCGCAGTCTTGGAAATCTTTCCCAAACCCAAAGCTGCACCAACTGAAATGGTGCATAAAGATGAAGCAACTTATTAGTTTGCATAACATTTGAGCTAAAGAACCAACCTTTCAATAGACTCAAGTCCCTATATATGCTAGATAACACTGCTGGTGCAAGGGCAACCCTGGTACCTCTAGCCAAATGAATGGCAATAGGAAAAACATGCTTTCTTATACGTTGAAATGAAACAGAATTAACAAGAACAAAGTTGGATAACCATAAAGAAAGGAATGCTTCATGCTCGAGGTCGTGTCCAGTTCCCATGAAATAGTCCATCCATGATTTATGCGAGGCAGCTAAAGATCTTGCTCTTGCAGCTTCTTTGCGCACTTTAATTAGTTTTTCTTCAACTTCAACCAGTTGTTTAGTCTTCAGAGGGCTTACAACAGATACACCAAGAACAGAATAACCCCCAGAGACCATCACATCTTCCAAGGTTATTGTTGCTTCACCCCAAGGAAAGATAAAAGTATTAGTATCAAGACACCAATTTTCAGCAAGGCCAAGAACAAGTTCTTTGTGTTGTTTCATAACATATCTGGAACTCATGACTGCCTCATAAATACCAACTTGCTTCCATAAAGCTTGGTACTCGGAATGCATGTTTTGAACCCATCTTTTCCATTTCTCTGTTGGACGTTTCCAGCCTCTGAATAACATTTTCTCTGACAAGTCTTTGAGGTCATATGTAAGGGGCTTGGGGGAGAAACAATCTGAAGGAAGCTCAGAAACGTTTCCATTATTGGAGGTGGCAGCTGGTTTGAGAAAGTGGGCTTTTCTTAGTGTAGGGTATCCACCATTTGGTGAAACCATGAGCTCTTCCCTCTCTTCAAAAATGGTGTCCGATTGCTTCTCCATTGTTGCTGTTGGAAATTTTCACAAAAACTTTCACAAGGGATAAAAGTTGGTGCCTTTGTTGTAAAAATCACTCTTTTTTCGGTTGTAACTCCAAGTCACTATCCTTGGCGATTTTTTTGGCTGGTAAAGCTTCATGTGCAAAGCTGGCATTGTTCTACTTTTGTGATCTTGCAGCTTTTGTTGAGTACTGATTTGTGTGGTTTAGGAAGGAAACAAAATGCAGCCTTTAGAGTTCAGACCTTGGGCCTAATTTTATGTTTACTAGGATGCCTTCTTTATTGTTATAATAATTGGGATAAAACCCCACACATATGACAAAAATATTTAACAAAGATGGGATGGTTTCTGCTAAGGAATTACAGAAAGTATCACTGCAGTCAAAAGGGTATGTTTGACTCCCTGGAATAGCAAGAATGCCATGACACACCATTAAAACTCCTTCATACTTAGGCCTGAAGATAATTTGGATCCATTTGAGGAAATCCTGAAAGGGTTTGGTTTTCTAATATTTTCAACCTTTATACCAATCTGCTAATGGTTTTGTACCATTACACTCAAATGGTAGCATATGCAATGCTTGAATCACCAATTGTTCAGTTTCAAATTGCTTCAAGAGAGAGAGCTTTATACATCCTAGTCAAATGACTATTTCTTAAAGAAAAATATGGGTTTTGACGTTCAGGTTGAAGTTAGCTTGCACACTAACTATTTGTTTCTGTAGTTTTGCATGTCCTGCCTTGCAGTTTGCAAATCTGATCTTAAACTTGTAAAGCAATGCTATGGAATCAAATGGTCTAACCCGACAATGCCACACTGCTTAATTAATTCTGAATGTATTCATTTTAATTCTGTGTTACTTTCCAGATATTGAATGCTAAACTAACCACTTTGGTTAAAAATATTTGAACAGATAAACAGTCAATATGATTGGATTTTTATATGGAAAGTCGCCTTTGAAGTGGTTATCAGCATCAAATTCACAATTTACTGGCGTAATGCAATAACTCATGTTAATAACCTTAAAACATTTCGAGCTACGTAAATGTTATAGAATATGAAGGTAGTAGGATCTTCTAAAATTTAACACCTGCATAATGTAAGAGAAAAATTCATTAAATTATCCAGGTTCAAGCATAATAAAACAAGTAAACATTACAAAATGACTGTATTAGTTTTAAACAAAGAAGTTCAGAGTCCACTTCAATAACTAGAGGAGACAAAATGAAATGAGGATGAGAGCTTAGCATGAAGAAGAAAAATCAGAGAACTGTATGTTTCTTCTGTTTCTGGTTTTCCTTGTTCTTCATTTTGGGCTTATCCCTGCCAGTTTCTCCACTCTCCTTAGCCTTCCTTCTAATTCTAGTCCAAATTTCAGAAGTGAACCTGAAATCGTGTCTTTGATGGTAACATTTTCAGAGTTCTTGTGAAACCCTTCAACCATTCTTGTCTTGCTTTCTTTACCAATACCTTTAAGTGATCCTTCAAATCTTTTCTTCCATTCAACTCCTGCTTTATGCTCAGTTACATCCACTGCCTTCCTCCCTTCTTTAACAATCCTCTTAAGTTTTTGGTCAGAACCACCAGCATTCGTTTGTCCTTCAGCAGTGCCATCAACAGGCAGAGTGGCTGCTTTGCTTCTTCCTGCAATTGTGAAGGAGAACTTTCTCTTTCTCAAATTTCCATTAGCTACTATTGAAGTTGGGGAACCAGTGGTTCGATATTGGCAGCATGGTGAAGCTTTGCGAAGGCCAGCTCTTTTATTTGGGGTGCCAGAAACATGCTGCAAGCGTTCTGTATCATCATACGCTTTATATGCCTGTCTCTTGATCTTAGAGGACAACAATTCAGAATTGACTGAGGCATGGCTCTCTTTGCTGTTGTTATCAGCAGAAACTTGAGAAAATGAGTCAGTAGTTTTCAAACTACACATTGCTCTCAAACCTTTGGAATTAACTTCGGTCCTTTCCACCCAAACTGGTGGTAACACATGTGGTTCTATCTTCTGGCGCAGTGAGCACATTTGGTAGTAATGCTCATCAGGATAATCCCGAATCATTTGTGTTCCAGTTTTGGCTGCATATTCATTTGCAAATGAGGAACAACATCCTTCAGTTTCAGCTTTTGTTGAAAGCTTTGATACTAATGTCTTTGGTTTCTTTACACCAAATTCAATTGAAGGGGGGGACTTTTCCACATTTCTTTTAGCCAGAACTGACTGTGAGCTTCTATTCTGCATTCTTTTGACATCCCTCAAAGCTGCTGTTCGAGCCAACTTAGATCTAATCCACCAATTGAAGTACCTAACTGATGCACAGGGCTCAAATGACCTTGGCGGAACAGTAAACCTAGCATTCTCCCATGACATGCTACAAACAGGGAAGGCAGCGGGAAGATCTTGATCGGATCCAAACTGCATTGCCACCCTGTGCGGCAAATACTCTTCTTTACAATCTAGTCCAACTAACAAAGAGGTATGCAAGCATCTAGCAAAAGAATTTAGGTCCTCATCTGGGTCAGTATAGTCAAAAGCTAAGAATTTAGTCTCTTTGTAATAGGATGGATGACCCCAGGTTTTCAAATCAGCAATATATGGCCGCCACCTAAAATTATCTGGCAATCTAAGCACTGATCTAACAAGTGGCAGGCTAATTTTTGCATTCAGTCTATGAAATCGAGCAGCTCTAGGCTCTCCAGGCTTGAGGGTATTAGGAATACCTGGACCAAGAGAAGGAAACCGCTCAAAAGCCTATAATTGCAGAAGTCTCAATGGACGTGAAGCAGTCATTGACATTTCCTCACGAGAAGACAGTGCTTGATTTTTCAACAATGTCAGATTTTTGTAAAGGCTTGCAAGAACTGCTGGGGCAAGTACCATTCTTGTATTTGAAGACAAATGAATGGCAACTGGAAAAACATGCTTAGCGACAATTTTCTCAGGCAGAGAAGGGAAAACATACCTTGACAGCCAGAGTGACAAAAATGCCACATGTTCATATTCCCTTTCTTCTTCCATGAAATGCTCTATCCAACAACCATAAGTAGCCTTCCTTGACTTGTTTCTTGACATGATCAAACGTTTCCTGTTCAACTCTTCCTCAATTTTCACCGATTTCCCTTCTAGAGGTCTTCTGACCGACTCTCCGAGTGTTGAAAACCCTCCAAGAATCATCACATCTTCAAGAGTAACAGTAGCTTCTCCCCATGGAAAAACAAATGTATTAGTTTCAGAACACCAAAACTCAACCAACCCAAGAATCAAAACCTTGTTACACCTGATTTCATATCTAGAACTCATGATGGCATCGCATATGCCTGTCAGGTTCCACAAGGCACCAAATTGTCCAGCCATCCTATCAACCCATTCTTCCCAACGTTTTTGCGAAACATGCCAGCCTTTTATGTCGATATTTTCAGGCCACTGTTTAAGGTTTTGAGAGAAGATATCAAACAACAAAGGAGTGTTGGGAACCGTAACAGCTCGTGACACAGTTTGGACACATGGTTTCAGGAACCTGGCAGTTCTCACCAAGGTTTTCCTATCTTTGGGACATATCAATTTTTCATCTCTAGATAGTTGAAAAATGGAATGAGAGTGTTCTTTTGCCATTTTTTGAAAACACAATAAGAGGAAAGAAAACCAAAGACCGTGAAAATGGTGGAAACATTTGAACAGTCTAGAGGTTTAAAAATTGCTGTAAAACCAAAAACAAACCACCCTCTTTCAGCCGTGCAAAAAGGCCACTACTTGCTAAACATGACTATTGGATGTTGCTTGTGACTGAATAACTGAAAGTACAGAATTTTACTTCCTTTCTGTGGCAAACTTACCATATAATTAGAGTAATAAAGTTCCCATTAATACACACATTTAACTGCCACCGAACCTGAGAAATGATAATAATCAAAAACAGCTTCATTGGCTTGCTAGAAGAAAATTCATGGTTCAATTTGACAACTTTAAGGAAATGGTGAAGCTTAGAGCCAAATATTTTCAGGCCAAAATCATGTCTAATTGGATATTGAAAATTATATGTAGATTGGACATGATAACTTCTTAGTTTGCCTCAAAGATTTAATTCTTATATATTGCTAAATGTTAGGCATACAGAAAAACATTCTTATACAAAAAATGGTTTTCAGAAAGCCTGTTTAGCTAGGCATTGAAGGTGACATTATCCTGACTATATGGTCCCATCTGCCTTTGACCACCTAACCATTTTCTTTCAACTTTCGCTTATCTTTAACTTCTTTTCATTTTCAGGATAAAAATTTGGCTTCCTGGTTTAGGTTAGTGAGCATGATTACCTGCCTGGCTGCCTCAATCCAATTTCCATAGCCATACAGGACAGTGGATCCGCACACATAGGATAGGAGAAAGTGGGCGAGAGAGAGGGAGAGCCAGTGACAATGATGGGTATTTTTCTATATAAAAAAAAACCACACCAAATAATGGTTGTTTGCTGTCACTTCCTACTTTTTTTTGTCTTTCACCAACCAGTATCTGGTTTATCAGTAATCAATTAATGGAAGTAAAGACTGTGACTTTCACTTTCACAACCTCTTATTCTATCCCTTTATTGTACATGATAAGTTATAACACATGGAGGAAACTAAGGAAACAGAAATCAGTGTGTTTGATGACCATTGATCCGATGATGCAAACAAAGTCCTAAAAGATAAAAGGTAGAGGCAAAGGATTCACTAAGAATATCATAAACCAAACGGTATCATATTGCTTCCTATATCCCTGCCACTTTACATGGACTGACTGATTCAGAGACTGACATTGGCTATTCAGAAGTGACTAGAAAAGACAGAGTTTTGCAGCCGAAATTCACTCTTTGGAACAGTCATATTTACCAAAATGCCACCCAACTGATCTCAAGATCTCGACAGTACGATTAAAACCAACCATAGCTTTGCCTTTTTTATCATTTTTTTACCAGATTCTGATTGGTTCACTTTTACTGATAAAATGCATTTAAGGTCCTTGTAAGGGAGGCTGGATAGTCTTAATCCAGTATGCAAAAAAGACAGACCATGGAGGAACCTTTCTGTCTCCTCAAAAGTCGAGTCATGGCTTGACCCTTCAAAAGCTCTCTTTTTAGTGAAACTAAGATACTCTTTTGCCAAGAAAAACTCCTTTCTTAACAATGGAGGATTCCTCAAATTCCATTGTCGAAGAAAGAGTAGAGCTTATGGTTTCACCTGCTGGTAAGAACGTTAAACTGAGAACGGGCCATTTCATCAAACCTTCCATAGGCTCAGGCTCTATGGATGGAACAACAGTTTGTAAGCACCCAAGACATTATCTTCCCTCTTCACTAACCACCTTTGAGCCCAAAAAACGGCCTTTAGATGTTAAGTTCCATGGCTGGATATACCCACAAAAGGATTGGAAAACTTGGGTTGTCAAGATGGCTTCTTTGCATGAGTCCACATGGAAGAAAGCTGGTATTTTTGAAGCTATCATGAATTCTACGTATAAGATAGAAAGAAACAACGATTTGCTATTTGGGGTTGCAGAAAAATGGTGCCATGAAACCAAAAGTTTCATTTTCTCTTGGGGTGAGGCAACTATCACATTGGAAGATGTCAAGATCCTGGGGGGTTATTCTGTGTTGGGGTCCCCTGTTTTTACCCCTGTTGAAACAGCGGAAATGAAGGAGATAAGAGAGAAACTTAAGAGTGCAAAGAAAGAAATCTCCAAGAGTACATGTGAAAAAGCCTGCCAGTATTTATGGATGAGGAAATTCATGCACAGTGATGATAGCACGGTCAAGCATGAGGCTTTTCTTGCATTGTGGTTATCAAGGTTTGTTTTGCCATCGTCTTATAATACTGTTGTTGAAAGTGTTTTCTCTATTGCTATACACCTTGCTAGGGGGACTAGAATTGCACTTGCGCCTGCTGTTCTTGCTAATATTTATAGAGATTTGAGTTGGTTAAAGCAAAATATTGTTGCTTCAACTCAGTTAGAGTCCAATTATGATGATGGAAATGTTGCACTAGCAATTACCCTTTGGTCACCACTTGCACTAGTCGAGGTTTGGATCTGGGAGAGATTTTTGGACTTACAGCCGAGGCCTAATTTGATTAAAAATGGTGAGCCAAGGTTTGCTTTGTGGCATGGCCTAAATTGCGAAGTGCAAGATATGTGCTCAGTTCTAGACTCAGCCGAGGAAAGGTTTGTTTGGCGTCCTTATGTTAGGAAAATAACAAACTGTGATGGTGCTAAGTTTTATGGAGACAATGCAATGTGGATATTGCTTGATTCAAGGTTAGATAATGAATTGCTGTCATTTGCTCGATGCTTGAGGGTTTCGGAGCTAGTTGGACTTGACTGTGTAGAGCAGTACTTTCCACATCGAGTAGCACTGCAATTTGGAATGGATCAGGATATTCCTGGTTGTGTTCCCCGATCAAATGGTACTCCTGAGATTGCATGGGCTGATTACAATAAGTCTGTTGAAGGTGAGAAGTTGTATATTCCGCCCAGGCTTTTTGAGGCAGATGTTACTACTCAGTACTTGGAGTGGTGGAAGCAATCAGTGTTGAGCCCGCAAGTGGTAAGTAAGGATGTGCTAAGGATGAGTGAAGGTAATGGCTTTCCGGGTTCTGAAATAAACACAAGGAAATCAAAAAGAGCAAAGGAAGGTACATTTGCTTCAACTCGACCTGATTTCTATCGCAAGATTTTGAAGAGATCTCGCCGGCTTTTAACACTGAAGGAGAAAGGTAAAAATGCCACTTCTGATCTCGGTTATCCACTGAAAGAATTGAAAAAGCTAGTACAATATCCAAGATGGAAGAAGGAAGTTCGTAATGCAGGTTTTGTGGCCCAAAGCTCAAAAAGAAAGAAGAAAGGCAACAATGCTTCAATGCCTCACGATAAAGATAAACTGACATTGCTAGATCTCGAAGCAAGGATTAGCCGGCTGGAAAGACTGGTTGCTGAGATAAAAGCAGCAAGAAAAGCTAAGTCAATGGTAACAACATGAGCTAACTTGGTTTAGTCATTTTTCTGTCAATATCTGAATCATTAGTCAGATTGAACTTGATGGAAGTAGAATCTGTGGTAGATCATCAGCTAGATATGAAAGAACATGTTTCATGTAAACTTATGTTTTTAGTTGGTATTCATCTCAGTCAAAACAATAGCTCTAATTACTTCAAGCTTCTCTATGGTAAAACCTGATATGCAATTGTCTTCTTTGTTACGCAGTGAATGGGTGGTGACTTCATAGTCAGATATATAATCTGGGATTTTTCATACTCTGAGGCTACTCTCTTTTGGTTTAATATATGTTAAAAACCATCTTAGCAAGTTAAAAAAGTGAATTGTGTGGCTAAACGTTACTCTATTAATCTCTCTAGGTTTAATTTATAGTTGAAGGGTACATGTTCTTTGGAGTATTTTCATGGTGTCTAACCCTTGCTTATTAGAATAGTTAGATTCCAACATTATATAGGATGGGAGTGATTGACAGCATTTGTCATAAGTTATAGGAAGAGAATATTGAGATCAGACCTTTATGCCAAAATGTGTGAAACAAGTTCATTTTCCCAGCAGTCAGCAGACACTGTTTTTCATATCTATCAAATACAAGAAAGGCTGATTTTCATTTGTGTTCAGCTTACAAACAATATGAACAATATGATTCTCTATTGTAGAAGTTGCAGAAGTTATCCACATCCATGTTTGACAGTTGCAACATATATATTGCTTGTAGTGGGGTCGTGAATTGACAGCCTTGATACAGTGATCCACCTTATAATATATACTGAATCAAATACATACTTAGGCTCTGGCCCTTGCCTTCTGTTTTTAGCTTCAAGTCTGGATGCTATCATGTTCAATGTGATGGTACTGCTTTCAGACATACTTCACAAACCCAATCTTCAAGCACATCCATCACTAAAGCCTGCTTGCAATACCTTCCAAAAGAATGAACATTTATTTCAGAATTGAAAGTCAAACAAATAAACTACATATGAATCAAGCAAGAAATCTACTTCTTAATTTAATTGATTACAAGCATTAAAACTTAAGATTGAGTGATGGTAATCTTACTTGTGACGCCCGATAGAGCATTGGGAGCAAGTTATAATCAGTTCCTGAAAGCCAACATCACCACATATATCACAGACCTTGTCCTGTAGAAAAACGAGTTTCACATTAAGAATTTTATATAATTATTTTTAATTATTAATTACTATAATAAATTTCACAAACATGAAAAAAAAAAAAAAAACTTTGGTTAAAAAAAAGGAGAATATCATGAAAGAAACCAGCAGTGTAAAAAAAGAGAGGATATCTTAGCAACTAGAAAACGACAAGAAAAGAGGCAAGGAAGGAGAGTTTTTACTAGTTGCTAGTTGCCACCACTATCACCATCAACACCGTCACCACTGCCATGAACCCCGTGGGTATTGCCATCATCGTTGGGTGTTCTATCGTGTTGACCGGTAAACTCACCCTACACAATGAGAAAAATTAGAATAGCAAACAGGTTAAAAAATACGTTTTCAAGCAATATGGCATTGAAACATATACATCCTAGAAAACAGTACAAAAAACTCAAATACATCCTAAATGCTACGTGAAAAAAACAACAGAAGCTAGAAGCTTATACGTTAGTGATTGCTGAGAAGTTGAGAGGCCGATGTACAAGCCGGTCCTCCAGTGCCTGCATGTCCTTTTTCCACTCCTGCCTTAGCCGCTCCTCTATTGATTGCATGTCCTCCTTCCATAGTCGCCTCAGATTGCCCACAGCTCGTCTCAAGTCACGCATTCTGACCACATCGTCATTTGCCTTCCCCCTTTGCAACTGCAATAAGATCGAATAAGATGTTAATCAATTGTAAAACAAGGGATTGTTGGTTATACAAAGAACTGTCCTTACCGACGGTTGGGCGATGTGAACGAAGCGATGAGGTGGCACTCGTGCTGATGTACGACGACGGGCAACTGATGTTGTTGGCGATGCTGTGTGCGTCTGAGGAGGCGGCGGCATGTGCCTCTGAGATTGAGCAGCTGGAGTGACATCGACCTCGTCGTCCTCCTCGTCCATCAAATGAGGGCATGACTGGTTGTCCTCTCCAGATACGTCAATGTGCCTCCGCTTAACGCCATCACTAGCTCTTTTCTGCTTCAATGCTCTCCTCTTCTCTCTTAAATCGACACCCCATGCAACTCGATCCTTCAAATGCCATATTGGAACGTATTGATGTCCCTTAGACAGAGGGACAGTTATGTCAACCCAATATGGCATTGCTTCCTCCTCCGGGGTGGGTTCCAAGATGTGGTGTGCCCACAACTGCACAAAACATACATTGTAATTAGTTTGAAAAATAGTTCACATATGACAATAAAAAATAAGTAGCGTTTTGCTCACCTGCTGAGTGGACTCTACATTTTTCACCGCTTGGTAGAACAACGTCGGCTTTGGCTTGCACTCCCATTTACACATTCGTGGATAAACGTTGTCTTTCTTAACGTGTAAGGCAATTAAGTTTCAAAAGCAGGAATGGCTTCCATTGCTCAGAACTGCCAGTCAATTATAAATGTTATAATCACTTAAATGTTACACAACATGCATTAATAAAATGTTATGTGAAAAGAAAAATGGAAAACATAAGGCAACATTACCTGTATCGCCCATACAAATCCGTATAGGTTGTAGCGGAAAAGTTTAGGCTTCTCTGACGTTACCGGAGGAACTTCGAACCCCCTCAATAAATAGTCCGTAGTCAACCTCCATACATAGTGACCCCATGAGAATACATTCCAGGCTTCAATGTCCTCGACCAACATTAATAGCCATAGCGTTACACATCTTCTATAATCTTGTCCGAATAAAATATTATTTATGAGCAAGACAAGAGCAATCTTTGTTGCATCTCCTGGCTGCTTAAATTTGCCTTTTTGGAACCTCTCAAGCACCTTTAGCAACTTCACATTCTTCCCTTTCCAGTATCTGGAGTGAATTCCTCCAGGGACTAGCTCGTAAGGACGTGAGAAAACATCTGTCATGGGGCCGAACTTCAATCCTGTCACAAGGCAAAACTCACGCTTGGAGAAACGTGCCTTGGTCTTGCCTATAGCAAACCAGAACTCATGCTCCATTGTGTCGGGTTCAGTGATTATGCGTTGCATGATGTTCTGCAGGAGACCGGAGCAGAAAAAACCCTGTGGATATACGTCCAGCAGCATCCCGAAGCACGTAACCTTCACTGCATTGTACTCCCCTACCTCTATAAGTATCCTTTCTATATATTGTAAGTGTGACCACTTACAGTGGATGTTAATAAAGCCCACTTGTCCTTCGGAACAACAAGCAAAGTTTCAAGGTTCTTGTACTCTCTAAAATCTATCTGTAATAGAAAACAGTTGTAAGCTACACGTAATGAACAGTTAACTCAAAAAAACTACATGTCGTTTACAAAAAAATTAATATTGTTACCTGTCATGTAGAAGAAATACAATATTTTTACACGCTATGTCTAATAACTAAGTTATTCTACGTCATATTTAAAAACCTTTGATTGCTACACGTCATGCCTAAAATTTTTAAATTATTACATGTCAAACTTAAAAATCTTAAATTATTACACGCCATGCATCAAAATCCTAAATTACTACACACTATACCAATCAATCTAAGTTGCTACACACCGTGCTGAAACGAAACCAAATTATGAGAGATCGGATGAAGAGGAAGGAGGGTATAGGAAGCCGAGTTATGGGAGGAAAAATGAGGATTCGGATGATGAAAAGAGGAAGAGTCATGGTTATGGTGGTGATGAAGGTTATGGCAGCAAGAAATTTAGGGATGACAACTCTGATGATGACGAAGAAAAGAAGCATCACCGCTATGAGCACCACCACCACAGGCGCCATGATGACAATGATGAGTAAATCAGACTGGTTGTAAATCTCTGAATGGAGTTCATGCCATAATAGCTACTACTAAATAAAAAGCTTGGGGCATGCCCCCTTTGGTGGTATCTACTACCTTTAGCCGATTGGTTCATGTGAGTCAGTGACTGTGATTGTCAATAAAATCCCCAAACATTTGGGTTACTGTGTTGTGCTTGCATATTATCAACTAGATGATGACAATGTGATGATGCCATGTGATGCTTATGTGTGTGCCTTTGAAATGTCTTTCTTTTTCAACCAAAAAAAAAAAAATAGCGACAAACAAAAACATACCAGTGACGACTTGAAGACAAAGCTGAGAAGGCAGAGGTGACAGAGTGAAGAAGATGCAATCTATGAATTTTTGAGGAAGAAGCTAAAGCCGGAATGAGATGTTCATTTGAACCGTGTGGAGTGATTCAAGGCAGGGCGATTCATATTCAACCGTTTGTTTTTAATTGCATGGAGCATGCAGCTGATGCCATGGGGAATTGGATTGGTTGGTGGCTGCAGCTGTAATAAATCCTACTCGAACCAAATGATTATTCCCCTTTACTTCAACTAATTTGTTCATTAGAAGATTACAAATGCGGGCTTCCTTTTAGGAAAGCTTTTTCAGCCTCAAAACTTTGTGTTTTTACATACAGTGGGTGACAGGGTGAGTCCAACGGAAGAGGGAAAGAATCATTTTCTCAATTTGCACTTCAATCTTACGCAATTTGTGCTCTTCAAAAAAATAAAAAAAAAAGCTTATGCAATTTGCATACCAATATTAAACTTCTAACACTTTCCACATCAAATAGAATGAACAAAATACATCATATAGACAGCAAAATTCTTGAGCTTTTTTAACACTTTCTACATCTCTAACATCATACATCCACTCTTTTACAACTTCAAAACTTCTCCGGCCGTTGTACTCTGGCCTCCAGCGCATGAGTTGGGTTCTTTCAATCTTTTTCCTATGCATTTGCTCAACCAAATTGACAAATCTTCATTATCAAAATAGTCAAGAATGTCAAAATAGCCAAGAATGTCCATTTCTACAGCCTGTTAGCAAGCACATGGAACAAACATGATGAAAATTCAAGTTCATTAGACCCTTTTTCCCAATTAAACGCTTTTTTCTAGAGAATAACAATTCAAAGCATCCATCCTCATAACATGCTCTTAACATGCATATCCATCATCATAGGGATGCAAAGAACTAATAAATACACAAAAGACACAGGCTGAGAAGCAAGTACTTAATCTAAACAATTTTCCAGATTTACAAAGACAAAGAATCACTTCTGAAACAGCTCATAACCAGCCATTTTCAAGGAGAATAACAACAAAACGTGAATCTCAAGCTTCAAGCATATTGATAGAAATTAAATAAAATAATCAGTTTTTTTCTGACAAATTAAGAGTATGCATCCCTCAGATGCATTAATCATCAATCAAAATCAGCCCACTACTTTTAATTTACATGATTACTCTTCACAGGGATGCAAGTCAAATTCCAATCCAAAAGATAAAATCAAGAAGCATATTACTAAATATAATTAGATTATCTAATAAGCATAGTTAAGATATGCCCATCCCTTAAAAACAGAGCAAAAAACAAAATAATCTTCAACGTATCAAGATTAAAAGTGAGATGAAATTAAGAAGAAAAGAAGAAGATTAACATCCCTCAAAATTACCTATTCTTCAGAGCAAGTCAGGCCTATCAACTTATAAAATTCAATAGAAATTCATCATAGGGATGCAAACTTTTATTAAAAAAATAATTTTTTTAATAAAAAAATGACATTTGTTTAATCAACAACTGAGTTAATTAAAAAAAAAAAGAGATTATTCAAGACATAACAATGAAAACCCGGAAAGGGCAAGCATGGGCATCTCTCAGATATGGAATTATCATCAATAAATCAGGCTACTTTTAACATGAAATATATCCAAACATCATTGAGATACAAAAATATGAAATTTGTACTTTGATTTTATAAAAAAATTAACAAAACCAGCTGAAATGTTAATCATCCCTCGGAATTGGAAATTCGTCAGTGGAAATAAATCGGTCCACTACTTTTAATTTATTTCTGGGATTAATTCTTCATAGGGATTTATTTATAAAAAAAACCAAGGAAAAGAGAGAAAAAGCGTCATTGAAAAAGAAGTGATTTTTCTCAATCGAAGATCAAAGTGAGAAATAATCAGTGAAGAAATTTAAAATAAAGATACAAAATTTGGTGCCGATTGAGGGGAAGTGGAAAAACTGGAAATGCTTCGATTGGGAATTAAAGAGATTAGGGTTTTAACTGCTTCAAAGAACGAGATGAATCTACTGAAATTACCTGATTGGTCCTCAAAATGTAATGAAATTACAATTTGCTAAGAAACTTAATATGATAGTGGGCTGGGCCTTGGTGAAAAGATATGCTCTTTTTGGGGCCAAGGACTCCATGATTAGCGTTTATTTGGGGCCCAAGGAAGCCATTAGACTAAGCTCACTTCCCTACTCTCTTATATTATTTTAAATATTATTAATTAATTAATAATTAATGTTGCAAAAGTTGAAAATGCATTAAAAAAACCAATGCTAATTAAGAAAAATAAAATAAACTAAATTAAATTACATAGTAATTTAATATTAAATTAAATTATAAAATCAAGTCTAATTTTCTTAATTTCATATTTTTTATGTTAATTACATAGTAAGAGATTAAAGTATAACATCTTACCAACGCTATAAACTTAATAAAATTAAAACGCTCGGACAAACATGGTTAAGAACATTAAAATATTCTTACAAACATAAATGAAAACGCATTAAAATATTCCAACAACAATAAGCAAGGAAATATTAAAATAGTTCCGATTTCCGATAACTAAGAATATTAAAAAGTTCCGACAAGGAAAGAACTTCCGAAGAAAGTAAACCGGAACATCTTAGTGAAACATCTTCATCGCTAAGCTCGAAAATGATGAAAACACCTTTCCCCTAGTCCGATGCCGACTCCAATTCAATTTTTGAAAATTCTACAAATGCATAAACAAAATAGCAAAGTAAAAGTTAAAGAATAATTTTAAGGAAAATGAAGGAATAAGAACTTGTAAGAGAAGAAAGATTAGATGGCATGTATGAAAATATTACCCAAGTCAAGTTTGTCAATCTCCTCCATTTCTTCCTCAAAGTCACTTGGATTTAGATGTGATGGTCCTTGTAGCCAATCGTGAGCACAAACAAGGGATTGCACCACCTTAGGAGTTAAAGAACTCCTATATGCATCAAGCTCACATCGACCAGTGTTAAAAGCGGATTTCGAAGTGGCTGTGGATATAGGAATTGCCAAAACATCACGAGCCAAATGAGAAAGGACTGGAAATTTACGACTATTTGATTTCCACCAATCCAAAATATTGAATTCATCATCATCATTATCATCAACAAGCTCTTGACTCAAATACTTATCCAGCTCCGTTTTTTGTTCCGTGCATCTACTTTCCCTATACTTGTTGAAATCTGAGCTCAAACCCCTTTTCTTTTTCTGAAGTAGGTTAGTGTCACCAGTGGCTTGTGTTTTTTGGCTCATTTGGCTTCTATCACTCACTTGCTTAGATTGTGAGAGTTCCATCATTCTCTTATAATCATTAAATAACTCAAAGACTGCTTCCTTGACTTCTTTGGTCATCACTTCAGCTTCCTCTTCTGCATACATTTCTTTAAAACAAAATTCCACAAAGTCAAGTTTATTCCGAGGGTCAAGAACAACCGCAACATAAAGCAACACATTCATTTTTCCTATATTCCCCCAATACTTATCATACTTTTCCTTCATTCTTTTGGCCATTGTACTGAATTCAGCATCACTACTTAACTGCCAATCTCGCAAAAGACGATAAACTTCACAAATTTCCCCCAAAAAAATGTTAGAAGTGACACACAATGAACCCGCAACTTTAAAAGTGAGTTCATAGAAAGGTTGCAAGAAAAGGACTACCCTCCTAACATTTACCCAATCATTACTATCAGGCACCCCATCTCCCAACAAAAGCTCATCTTTAAAAAAAGGATCCTCATCTTCAAACCTCTCAAAAGCCCTTTCAAATTTTTGAGCTACATCCAACATCAAGTAAGTGGAATTCCACTTGTTGCTAACATCTAAGCACAAGAAACCCTTGGATTGAATCTCTTCTATCTCAACACACTCTTTAAATTGTTGCAAGCTAGATGATGATTGTCTCACATATATTACTGCCCCCCTAACACGAGCAACTAAAGCATTAAATTCGTTTAACACATCACTAACAATTAAATTGATAATGTGTGAAATACATTTCAAATGAAGATATTTGCCTTGTAGAATACCCATTCCAAATAGGTTGAATCTGTTCTTCAAGAATGATATTGCATCATCATTTGTACTAGCATTGTCAACTGTGATAGTGAACACCTTATCAATTCCCCAGTCACGCAAACACATCAAAATTGCCTTACCATTAGCATCACCTCTGTAACTAGAAACCCGAAAAAAGTTCAACATTTTTTTGTTTAATTTCCAATCATTGTCTATAAAGTGCGCTGTGAGGGACATATAGTCCTCTTGTTGCAATGAAGTCCAAGTTTCTACAGTAAGGGAAACCTTATGTGAAGAAGACTGCAAAAATTTCTTCAAGCTAATCTTTTCTTCTATATAGAGTTGATAACAATCCCTAGCAATAGTGCATTGTGATGGAACTTCAAACCTAGGACATACAAGTGACATCCATTTCCTATATTCTGTTCTTTCCACAAACTTAAAGGGCAACTCATCTAAAATGATCATTTCAGCCAAAGACCTCTGAATGGCCTCTTGATCAAATTTCCAACTGCCTTCTAAATCAGAATCTGCTTCGTCATCAGTATGAGAAATCTTTCTACAAACTCTTTTATGATCAGCATGAAACTCACTATCACAATGATTGCATGGCTCACCTTCCTCATTCACGAATTTGGTGGAGTGACCCCTTGTTTCTGACCTTGGCTTAGTTGACTTTCTCTTGCTTCCACAGCTAACAGGTCGACTGGTTGCTTTATTTGCATTACCTTCATATTGAGTTGTGGGCTCAGTGGATTCATCATCTGTGTCTTCCATTTCGTAGGACATCTTTGAAGAAACAAACATTTCAGGTTAGACATCTTATTTGGTTAAATCAAAGCTAATACAAGCTAAACAACAACATCAACCACAAAAGAAAGAAAAACAGTGAGCCGGTTACAAACTGATAATCACCTTGGATAACACCAATGGAGTTGGGTCGGGCCCACAAGAGCCAAATAAAGTGGGGCGGGGCACCGGCGGAAGTAACTGCAAAGCGGAGTGGTGGGAGAAGAAAGAGTTAGAAAGAGTCTTTCTAGTTTTGAGAACACTAGAGTCTAAAGCGGCGGTAACTTAAGGTTATAACATGCTTATATATACACCATAAATCGGTTAACCGATTTCCGATAGCTTTAACCGACCAAGCACCGAAGAACCGAACGAACCGAATGAACCGAATTCAAACATTCGGCTCTCTCAGAAATGGAGTTATCATCAATAACCGAGAAAATTTTTCGATCAACTTTAACCGAGCAATGAATTAACCGAACGAACACTGAAGAACCGACTTGATCGAGCAACCGGATTAACCGAATTCAAGCGTTTGCATCTCTCAGAAATGGAGTTCTCATCGATAATTCAGGCTACTTTTAACATGAAGAATGCCCAAAACATCATTGGCATGCAAAAGCAATAAAATTTGAACTTTGAATTTATACAGAAAACGCCAAGAAAATGAGAGAAAATTCTCCATTCAAAAAGAAACGATCTTTGTCAAAGCCGTAATCAGTGAAGAAATTTAACAGAAAAAAGAACAGAATTTGATGCCAATTGATTAAAACCAGTGAACCGGAAAATGCTTCTATTGGCAATTCGGGGATTTAGCTGGCGTTTTAGCTGCTTTGAAGAACAAGATGAATGAATAGAAATTGACTGATTTGTCCTCGAGATATAATGAAAACTACGATTAGCCATTACTTTCTTGAGAGAGTGGTCTAGGCCTTAGTTGAGAAGTCAGAGCTAGGGGGACCCACCAAATCCCCCCAAATGCTAAAACTTGACTTGCACAATCGACTACCTATAAATACATAAGTGTCCTGTTCGAAATGACCGTGTGGTCCTGTTTCTGATATAACACTTTTGGTAGCTCCACTGAAAAAACAAATCTCCATGGGATCAAAGAACAGGAGTCTGGTTCTGGGTTTGTTTGTCTTTGCTGTGTTCTTACTCTCAGGTGTCAAATCCTGGACTGGTGAGATTCATGGTAGAGTTGTCTGTGATGTTTGTGCGGATTCTTCAATTGGACCTGAAGATCATGTTTTAGAAGGTTCCTCTCTCTATCTCCATTTCTCTTCTTTTATTTATAATTCATGATTATGGTTGTTTGATTGGTAAAGTTATGTTTTTTAGCTGGAATTTGAAGTGGGTTTTGTGTTGGAATTGTGATTCGTTCATGTGTCGGTGGGTTTATAGTTTCTGGGTACTGATAAAAGTTGTGCCTTTTTTTTGTTTAATTAGTGGTTATATGCTGATGAACTTGAAATGGTTTTAGCTGAATCTGGATTAAATCAGGCGATGGTTGGTCCTGTTGATCTTGTTTGTGAAACTGAATTTGATTAATTCAATTTATGCTTAAATTGAAAGAAGAAAACAAAAAAAAAAAATTGTTGCCTTTTGATGTTGTGATTAGGTCTGCATTTTGCAGTTTGTCTGTTTGAGTGATTTACCTGTGATTTGCTTTACTTTGTGTAAAATGCTTCTACGATTCATGCTTGCTTGTTTGTTTTACCTGTGGCTAATTAGGTTGCATACAGTTATTCTAGTGTTAGAAGGGGTTCTCTGAGCTGACTGCTGTAGTCAATCCTTTTTATGTAGGCTGCATCCTCAGAAAACTTTGTGTAAACAATTCCGTTATGGCTTGATTGTTGACATGCTCATAGTCTGTGGTTTTGTTTTCTTTCTTCTATATCTGTGATGGCTTCCATGTTAGCTTTCTTGACCTGATTTCACTTTTTGTTCTTGCTTGGTTGTTTAAATTACGCAAATTGTGAAAGACAGTTCTAGGATTCCGATGTCATAAAGATATAACAAATTCACCAACTCACCACCACCATGCTTGTTGAGATGAAGTTATCTATTTCCATCAGTATAATGATCATAACTAAGCTTCGTTTTGTCCCTTTGTTTTTTTGCTTACTTGGTGAGGCAAGTGGATTATCAATAAAGGAATGGATACTTGCTGAAACTTTCTTATCGATGGTAAAGGTGTTGTATTTTAAATGTAAATCCTCTTTCATTTCCACTTGTCAAATGGAAGCTGTTTGCAATCAATATAACTGTTCCCGGAGTTGAAGGTGAAACTTTTGTGATTGTGGAATGAGTTATCAATGCTGCATGTGTAGATGAGAGCAAACTTTGTAATTTTTGAAGAGTAGCTGATGAACTTTGATCTTCCTCTTTTCCCATGATAACACTGGAATGGAATCTTTTTCCAGTTGCATTCCATATGAGTCTTTCTCCCCCTGTTTTGTCTGTCTTAAGGAGGAGGCAATGCACTCACACTTTACCTGTTTAATTGCCATTGTTGGTGATTGCTGATAACTCCATCTTTGTTTGGAGTCATTTTCATCCTTCAACTTGTACCATGCTTTGATGCTTTGAAGGACGAAATAAGATTCATGTATCTAGGTGATTTCCTGAACACTTGAATCATATAAAGTTGGGGTCTTTTTGTGGAAATCTTAACTAATATTTCAAACATATATTTGATCAGTGTATCTTATGGTCATGTACAATGAATGTTTTGGTGCAGGCGCTGAGGTTGCTGTTCTTTGCATTACAAAATCTGGGGAAGTAGTAAACTATCAAGCTTTCACAAATACAAAGGGGATCTACACTGTGGCTGAAACAATGCCCGAGAGTGACCGTTGGGATGCATGCTTAGCACGACCCATCAGTAGTTTCCACGATCACTGCAACCATCTTGGGGAGGGCAGCACCGGAGTCAAGTTCACCTACAATCGTCCGTCAGGTCATTTTCACACTGTCAGACCTTTCGTTTATCAACCTGCCAGCGCTCCAATCTACTGCATGTAATATGCTAGTCAATGCGTATACTTTAGTTGCAATCGAGGATGTCTTATACGGAATCAAACGAAACGAATCCTATTTAATGTTGTATTTTATATGTGCTTCTCAATACTCAAATGTGCTTGTTTCTGATATTCACCTTGTTCCATCTTGTGGCCCACCTGTGAAAAACAAAGAATTGCAAGTACCCTTGCTGTAAGGTGGTAAGAGCCATGTCTGTTCACGTGTTCTTTCTCTTCATCTAAGTTCTATTTGATCTTCTGCTTGGTCAATGACGGATCTAACGATTTTCAATCAAATCCTTTCGATGTTGTTGCTTTGATACTCGTGAAAATCTTAAATTCATTAAATTTTACGTTACACGTAAGATTGTAGAATACGTGAAAATTTAAAACTTATTGAATTCTGAAGTACACAACAGCGAGAATCAATTATCATTCAACTGTTAAAAATTTAAGACTTTTCTTGAAAACCCTTTGTTGTAAAAGATAATTTCGCTTTATCCATAAAGAAGAAAATTAAAAGTTGCGTTGGTGGGCGAACAGAGATTGTTTCACCCAAACAAAAGTCAAAGTCAAACCGCGTAGCCATGGATGTGGCCTGGGAGTTTGGCGGGACCAGATAGCTTGCGTGGCGAGACCTGGTAGGACCATATACGTGTTCACGGCTTCATTCCAAATGGGACAAAACTATCCCCCTGCAACTACGTTGTCAGCCGCCAACGAATCATGGGTATATAAGTCATATCAACATTAACTGCAAATAAACCGTTGGAAAGAAAGAGAGAAGACGAGACAATGAAAAGAAAAGAATTCTGGTGATCCAGAGACAAAACAGAGGGAGGGAGAGAAACTCAAAGTTTTTCTCTTTTTTATTTTTATTTTTATTTTTGACTTAGTTTTTAAAAGATGATAACATGGATAAAGCAGCTCAAAATGGCATTTGGGGTGGCCTTTTTATGGCTTGTTTGTTTGATTTACTTCACCCAGGTACCCCCATTTTTTCTTCTTCTTTTTTCTCAGTTTTGATTCATGGGATGCATAAAGATATGAAATTTCATTGCTTTGGGTTTCTTGATATCTGGGTTTCTGTTGGTTTCTTGTTGGGTTTTACTAAGAATAATTTGTTGATTGTAGAATATTGGATTTGGAAGCCAAAGCAACTTGTAAATGACAAGTATTTTAGTTAATCTTTCGTTAAAACAAAGAAAGGCTCCTTTAGGTATTTGAAAGATTTTTTTTTTCTGAAACGTTCCAACATGTTTAATGATGGAACATAGACCTCCATGATGTTGACGTTTGATTAATGTTGAGAAATGTTGATGAATGAGATCTTTGTCAAGTATCATACTGCATCATTGGAAAGCTTTTGCTGTTCTATGGGTTTCATATATAAAGTTGGGTTGATAAGTCTAAATGGCTTTTAGTTAAGTAGAAACATCACCATTTTCACCTGCGTTGATTCCCCTATGACTTTGCTAATATGAATCTTTCGTGTGATTTTGAGTTAAGATCCCCAACAATATCTTCTGCATAAGCTTTTATAGTGAAACAAGGTAATATTGTTGTTCCGAGTTTGTAATAATTCCTTTCTCTATGTTCTTGTAATTCTTATATCTGGAACCTGTTTCTATGAAGCTGAACCAATCTTCCCGATGTGTTTGTTTTTGCCGCTTTATACCATGCTTCAAGTTTGGATCTGAATTACCTTATTGATATGTGAATACAGGGTTTCAGATCATTTGTATGGACAGCAGTTTCCTACCAGCTAAAGGATAGGCTTAAGTTGTCACCCTCAGCCTCCCAATTTGTGTTTTCAATAGCATTTTTCCCATGGAGCATAAAGCCTATATATGGGTATGCATCATTCTTGTGCTTATTGGTCATGGTGTCATGCATAAAGCATATAAATGAATCTTTTAGTAATGATAATATAGGAATGGAAATAGAATCTCTTCAGGCGAAATGTCTTATGACACATGAAAGGTAATGGCCCTGGTATATGCCATACAAGGGTGTAATTTGTTATGTAATCCAATCCATACAAGAGCCTTAATAGAACATGATGAAAACTATCTTACTGAAGAATATAAGCTGAAAATAAACTGCCCTTTTAGCATTATACTATCTCTTGATTATTTGTTGGAACCTTACTTGTTTCCTCATGCAGGATTTTGTCTGACTGCATTCCCATTAAAGGGAAAAAAAGGATTCCATACTTGGTTATTGCAACTGTGATGTCTCTTGTGCCATGGCTTATTCTGGGTGAAAATGCAACCTCAAGGAGTTCCATGTGGCACCTGACAATCTTATTAACTGTGCAAAACCTTGGTTCTGCAATGGCGGATGTTGTGGTTGATGCAATGATTGCGGAGGCTGTAAGATGTGAGAAGTATGTTCATGTCTTAAAATTACTTTGAATTTCTGTGTGATAAAACTTGATAACCACTCAATAAGCTTATTTGGCATATGACCACATTGGCATGCAAACTAGTTGGTTGCTTTACCTTATTGTATAGCATCAAAATGGTTGGGCAAATGTAAGAATTCCCTTATTAAAATTTGGGGTGGTGGAATATTTTTATGTTTCTTTCATGATGATGATGTTGCATCATCTACTCTGTGTATTACTTCTTTCTGCAGCGTGCTGCCCTTTTACGTTTTCTGCAACCAATTGTTTTGTGGTTTTCTACATATTGTGAAGAACAAAAGACTTACAAGGTTGAACAAATTTTTATCAGGGCCTTATTTGCTGGAGACCTTCAGTCAATATCATGGTTAGCAATGGCTTTTGGTGGAATATGTGGCAGTTTGTTAGGAGGATATGCACTAACCAACTTAGAGATTGATATTATTTTTCTTCTTTTCTCTGTACTTCCAGCCATACAGTTATTTTCGTGTGGTTTGGTTGAAGAGAATTCTATGGACAGTGAAGTTTTCTCTGAGTTCTCTAACTCAAGTGATTCCCATCTTTTGAATGGGAAGACTAACAATTTGGATGAAGATAGTTCTTTGGAAAAGAAATCCAATGTTACTGTCAGAAGAAGAAAGAAGAACCAAAAGAAAAGCACAAAGACAAAATTTATGCCTGGAAAAGGCAAGAGTCCTGGGAAGGGCAAGTCCCTGGCAATACAGTGGTTCCAGTCCCTGAAAGATGCTACTTACAGTTTGTGCCATGCTTTTAAACAGCCAATCATTTTGAGGTAAATATTAATTAACTTTCTGGTACTGAGAGTTAAATGTAGTGTCAGTTTAAGCTTATTGAATGCTTTGCGTATCCAAGGTAACTACTTGAGATGTTCATCACTGAAATAGATAATGACACATCGTCTAGAATAGACTGCACTGATGTTGGTCCACATATATGTTGGATGCAGCACTTTGTCTATAGATGCAGATTCAAAACAGCATTTAAAGATGCCTATCCAGCATTGAATATTGGGAGCTTGTTCTTTAGTGTTAACCTAGTTGGCACGGTAGTTTGATATTGTTGCTGATCTCTATTTTACAGATCACTTTGTCATTCTAATCATGTCTTCTTTTTATTTAATTTGCCCCTGGGAACTCCAGACCAATGGCATGGTTTTTCTTAGCACACGTCACTGTTCCAAACCTTTCAACTGTCATGTTCTACTACCAGACCGAGTTCTTGAAGTTGGAAGCATCCTTTTTGGGGACTGCTCGCGTTATTGGATGGTTAGGCCTCATGATAGGGACATTTACTTATAATCAGTACTTGAAGAAAATGAAGTTACGAAGAATTCTCATGTAAGTGGTTAGTAGTTAAGCTCAAAATTCATTTGACAATAATTTTTTTTTCTTGAAACCAATGCAATCATATTGCTTTTCATATTCTACAAATATAATACAGGTTGGCTCATGTTGGTTTGGCTTTCTTGAATCTCTTCGATATTGTTTTGGTGTCTCGAACTAATGTTGCCTTTGGAGTGTCAGACAAGACCATGGTGCTGTATGGATCTGCTCTCTCTGATGCCATCAACCAACTCAAGTATGTTTAACTTTTTCTTTTGATAATTCATCAACTTAATATGAGAATGCTAAACAAGAAATTCTTCATCAAGTGCCAACGACACTTGCCTTTTTCTTTCTTATGTGTGCTTGTTGGAGATTTGACATTCTCTTCTCCACCAACATTCCAAACATTCATAGATTTGCTGGACACCAGGCACGCTTGAATGACCACAACAATGAATCTCACTTCATGCTCTTCCTCTCACTCCATGTGATTGTAGGTTCATGCCATTCTTGATCTTGTCTGGACAGCTATGCCCACCAGGAATCGAGGGAACACTATTTGCTCTCTTTATGTCAATAAACAACTTCGGGTCCACCGTAGGATCATTCGTAGGTGCTGGATTAGCATCAATCTTGAACATCTCTTCAGGATCTTTCGACAATCTTGTTCTGGGCATCGCTATTCAACTCTTGTGCACTTTCATTCCAATTATGCTGCTGTTTCTGATACCCAAGGAAGCTACAGGGACAGCATCATAACCAACCATCGAATTTTCAAACAGACAACTGAATCACTAGCAGCTGAAGATGACTAGATAATATCCTGAGACCATTTTAGACCCTTTCAATCGAATTTGTTACCTGCTGAAATGCAGTTAGAGACAGATAATCTACGTTGCGATATGTACAAAAGATATTCATTGTATAAACAGTTTTGGTTGATTGAGTGTACACAACTTGAGTGAAAAAAGGGTTTGAGTGGGTGAGAAGCTTGCTGTCATATCAGAGCCAGGTTTCGATCCTGGGACCTGTGGGTTATGGGCCCACCACGCTTCCGCTGCGCCACTCTGATCTGTTATCCTTTTTATTGAATGTCTTTTATTTGAGGAAAAAGTTTTTATCTTTGATTTGACTACTCAACCTACAACTCAAGGACAATAATTGGTATTTTTTTTAATTAAATAACCACTAGTATATAAAACTGATTATATGAGATTTAAATATCTTACATTAGAATTTAGAATGAATATAAATAATAATTTTATTATTCATTTCGAATTCAAGTAGGGAACAAATATCATGCTTTAAATACTTAATATTTAAATCCATTTATAAATAAATATGTATAAAATATTGTATGCGAAAGGGATTGAGCCTTAATTAATAGTCTTAGCAGTTTAATCAAATTATATAAAAAGAAATTATATTTAATTTTTTACTTAATTATATATATATATAAGTACTTAAAAGGATTTGAGTATTTAACGACCAATTTTAAGATATTAAATATTGATTTAAATTGTATTTTTTAAATTTTATTCGACTAATTATAAATTAATAAAGTACGAATTCGGGTAGCTAAACCCGTCAGTATCCCTACTTAGTCTGCTCTTCCCCGTCCTTTTACCCTCTCTCTCTCTCTCTCTCTCTCTCTCTCTCTCCTCTGCAACAAAAAGCTAGAAAGAGGAAGATATCGAATCAATTTTTTTTTTTTTTAAAAAAGAAAAAGGAAAATGAGAAGAAGACCTGGAATTGGAGGCTTACAGACAGCTGCAGCCGCTAGGGTTTGTTAATCTTAATTACAATTATCCAAATTAATCTCAATTCAGCCTACAAATTCTACCTCTATTTATTTATTTAATTTTTGAATTTTCAGGATCAATATCGATTACTGGGAGAAAATGTAGCCAAGTTAAGAACCGATCTTATGAAAGAACAACTCGCTACCTTTCGTTCTCAGCTCGAAGAATTCGCTCGAAAACACAAGGTCAAAAATTTTTTCCCCCCTTTTTGTTCTCACTATTTTAAAGAAATTTTGAAGTTTTTTGACTTTTTTTGGGTGGTGATTGGCAGAATGATATTCGTAAAAATCCAGCTTTTAGGTCACAATTTCACGAGATGTGTGCTAAAGTGGGAGTGGATCCTTTGGCTTCAAATAAGGGATTCTGGGCTGAGCTTTTAGGGATTGGTGATTTCTATTATGAACTTGGTTGGTATCCTAAATCATCCCTTTTCCCAAAAAAAAGAAGCTTTTTCTTTTGTTTGCAAGTTTTCTAATTCTTTTTGTAGCTTAAATTGATTGTATTTCTATCTGTTTAGGGTAAAGTTATGCGCTTTATGGCTGTTTTTTCAATATTAATTAAGGTTCTGATTTGTTTATCTCTCTTTCATTTTTGAGCATTTTCTTTTGATGCATGTTTCTTAAGTTGTTAGCTGTTTTATTGTTTTGCTTTATAGCATTATGAACTGTAACTATGACAGCATTGGATCATTTTTGGTACAAAGTTGTATGATTGTGAAATTTTATTTCTGGATATGAATCCGTAAACTTCTCTGCTTTCAAGCATGATGCATATGTTCATGGCTTCTGAAGTCTTATTATCCATTTGGAAGTTTTAAGTTTTCTCCTTAGCTTGAAAAGGTGTTTGTGTAGAGTGCTTATAATGAGGTTTTGGTACTTGGCTAGACAGGGGTGCAAATTGTTGAGATTTGCTTGTCAACTAGGCCTCTTAATGGAGGTTTGATCGACCTGCAGGAACTTTGCAAATTGCTTCGTCAGAAACGAAAACATGATCGTGAAGCTGTATCTGAGGATGACTGTTTACGTGCTATAAGTAAGCTGAAGGTATTGTAGTAAAGTTATTTCCTATGTAATTCGTATTGATACTGAATTAGTTTGCCAGCTTGGCTACATTTCCCTTTTCCCTTTTTTAACCCCTCAGGATGAGCGAGTGGAATGTGCGTGAGCAGGCTGATTGGTTTTCCTTTGACCTTTGTTTTGAGTAATATTATATCTTGAGGATATGTTGAATTGTTTGTGATGTTATTGTTTCTTGCTAGAATTGAATTCTGACTTAGTATTGCATGGTTTAAAAAACGGAGTTTTCTTATAAATTTTTATGCTGCCAATTTAACGGATCATACATGTACTAATTGTATCTTCCAGACATTGGGTAGTGGATTTGAGGTGATTTCTGCTGGAAAGAAAAAGCTTGTTCGATCTGTTCCAACTGAGTTGAAGAAAGACCATAACGAAATTCTGGAGCTGGCACAGGTTTGTCATATTTCTGTTTGTATGCTGCAACAAGTAACCAATGTAAGTAATTGCTTAATTGATATTCTACTTGTTTTCTCTCTTAGGCTCAAGGGTATGTGACGGTTGATGAGGTAGAGAGACGGCTTTCCTGGACACATGGACGTGCTATTGATGCCCTTGATACTTTATTAGATGTAAGCTCTTGCAACATCTGGCAGGTTTATCATCTCTTTGTTATTTTGGATTCATGTATTTCACAAAATCCCTGTTGGTCAATGCAGGAAGGTCTTGCGATGATTGATGATGGCCATAGTGATGGCAAACGCCGATATTGGTTCCCCTGTGTATCCTCCATCTCCTCGTTTGGAGCTGATAGTTAACATCAGTGTATTCTGCCTCTTTTTCTCGCTGTTTTTCTTTTCCCAAATTCAAGTGTTGTGAACCTGCAAACGATGTATGTGAACTCACAAAGATAATGAGAAAGGAGGCTTTCGTTTGTTTCTCCTCTATTTTTCGTGTTTTCTTAAACCTCTTAAAACCAAAGCAAACCTCACCACCATCAGTAACATTAAGGATGAACTCTTGCTATGTTGAATAGGAAATGGAAGAAGGGATTACCCATTGAAACGATTATCTGTTATGAAACTAATATTAAGAATAGGCAGATTCATTAAGAGATGATAATACCAACATGATTATGTATACAAACATAACAATAAATCTCTAAATGTTTTAATTTCTAGTAAAAATTGATAAATGGTACCTCTTTCTGATAACAATGCAATGCTGCTTGTGGCAGACGCTCATGATTATATATGCACCCCAGAGCCAGTTGTCCACATAAACAAATCACTTCAAATATTGAATGTTTGCTTTTGCTTCTTATTACAAGAGGGGGGAAAATGTTTCAATGAACTGTAACTTGAGGTTGAGTTTCATCAGTTTCTTCAGTCCATTCAGCACCAGGCTCACTCCAAGACCTGGGTCTCACCCCGAGCTTGAAAAATATAACCATCTCCAATGCCTCGAACACCTTGTTCTTGTCCAAAAATTCATTGCAAACTCCACTCACTATGCAGTAGTTACTGTTATATGGTGGCTTATGGTGTGCAGAATGTTGCGACCGGGAGACAAGCACACCAGCATCTTGTAGCGCGACCACCAATGGAGGGAGCTTGCTCTTGGTGCCGTGGGACCAAGCATGGAATTGTTGGCTAAACATAATGCAACCGGCACAGATACTAACAAAGCCTTGAGCCACAGGGTCGTTGCAGAGAATGTCTATTGGAAGCACAGTGATAGTTACGTTACGAGCCAGTGCATATAAATTGTTAGCAAACTGGCGCCTGGTGATAATCCAGGGCCATCTGTGGTGACCCTGGAATCCTTCGATTTGTGAACCGAAAACTGGAGTCGATGCATCACCATAATTGTCGACACCCCAATGGTACACCCCGGACAAAAGATCAGCTACAATGTACCCGACATAACCAGCTAGCATAGGCTCGAGCCACACATGAGAATCAGCTGCACCCATCATGGCCTTGGCTAGTGAAATGACCAATGTGGTGCACCCACTAGCCACCCACCCCCTGTGAGGCCACGTTGATTCCAAACTTGGTTCATTAGGCAAGGGAGTGCCAGTACTAGGAATGGTTGTGACCGGGTCCGGTGTAGTCACGAGCCTTGGCTCGATGACTAGCTGATTCTGGCTGGACCTAGGCTTGGTTGTGGTAGCTGAACATGTCAAACGTGCAATACGGCACGGCCGCGGGCACGTGGGACCGTCGGTTAGAGACCTTAAAGGGTATTTGTGTTGAGGCAAGATAGACATTGAAGGGAAAGGTTTAGTGAAAGGAAAGAGAGGGCAATATTTGTAGAGGCTGAGAACATATGAAATAGTGGCTATTGGCAAAAGGCGTTGGGGTGGTGGAGACTCTGCCATAGAGCCAATGTTGTGGTGTGGATTAAGGGTGCGTGGGGTCGTGGAAATCGCTAATGTGTCTTGATGTAAACTTGTGCTCACCATTTTGTTCCAAGTGCTTGTCCTTTGGAAGTGAATTTCAGTCACACAAATCTGTTAGAAATTTGGGTTCAAACCAAAGAATCGGACCATCCATTTCAACTCTTGTATACAGCGATTTACTTGAAACATTTTTCTAAAACAAAAGTAAATTGTACATCTAAATAATCTATCAAATTATAACCAGTCATTCTCAAATGTAACATTTTTAAAATTTATAATATATATGATTATTTTTAATTTAACGAATTACATAATAAAATGTTCTATTTAAATTTTATTATAAATAATTTGTAATCTTGAGCCATGAAAAGGGGGTAAGAGGACAAAAACATCTGACGACAAACCAAAATTGGGTTTTGGTTTAGGTTTGATTCATGGGCTAGGATAAAGATGCAATGTCTGAGGTTGTGATTCAACAATGATTGGTCCTTTTTCTTTTTGTCTACATGTGAAACTTCACTTGAAGCTTCCGAGTAGGGCAAAGAATGCAAAGCAAATGATAGCGGCAGCAAAAGAATATTCATGTCCTCAAGCATCTAACATGCAATGGGATGCCAACTTCACAAGGAAAAGATATTGAAAACCATATATATAAATATATAATATTTACGTGTACATTAATATGTGACAATAACGTGACATTTTAAATATCATTAATTTTTTTAATTAAGATATTTTACGTATTAATTTTTGTCAACAAATCATATATTATAAAATATTTTGATTTTAGACTAAAAACGGAGAAAAGTGTGACCAATATGAGTTAAGTGTTGACTATAGTTATTACATTATTAAGCATGACCTTAGTAGTTCCTTGCAAGGATCTTCTTCCTCATAAAGTTTCTCTGTCATTTGTCAATTCTTTATTTATTTTGTAAGCTTATAAATGGGAAACAGATAACTGTTGCAATGATAAATTGGTATCCCCACCTTGAAATGTAAGTCAAAAAACCAGAAGCTTCCTCTTGCTTTCATGGTGTTCCACAAAAATTTCAAATCATCTGTCTCTAAGTGTTTAACTCATATATATATATATATATATTATTTAATTTTTTATATTCAAAAGCATTGAAAATTTATAAATATAATTTTTTTTTCAAATTTTAATATAAAATACATTAAAAGTTAAAATTTTCGTGAAAGTTAAAGACAGATAAACATTTTAAGGATTAGAAAAAGTAAATTTTAATTTTAAATTTTTAAATAAAAACGGGTATTTATATTTTTGGAATTTCATTAACTTCTTACATATTGTTTTTTGCATGTATAAGCAAATTATTTTTTGAGTAAATAAATGAGTAAATACAAGCCCATCCCTGGCCCACAGTTTTGTTTACTTGGTGGGAAATGGCCCACAAACAAATTGAAGAGGCAGCCCTTTTCTTTTGGGTACATTGTCGCCCACATCATTTTTCCGATTTTCAAGATTCTTCTTTTATATATTGAAAATACTTTTCATAATTTTTTATAAATATTAATAATATATAAAATAAATCTATTGTTAACATTAGTATATAAAAAAATATGAAAAGTATTTTAAAATAACTTGAAAACTAAGTATATAAAGTATAAATTTTGAGTGAATTAAAGCCTCATGTCTTTGATTGTTGGTAAATTATTGGTAATTAAATAATTTTGGGTTTCTTATAACCATAATCAAGTATAAATTTTTCCTTTATTATGTATCCAATTAATTTTGGATTTTTTTTAAAAAATAATAAATAACTTTGTTTTATTCATTGAAAGTTTTTTTTAACAAAATTAGTACATAAATTATCTTAAAATGATATGATACTTAAAAATTTTTAAAAAATTTAATTTAATTCTTATTTTTATTATGTTTAATTAAAATTTTATAATTTATTTTAAATTAAATAAATTTTTATGATTAATATTTAATTAATTATTGATCAAAATTATATTTATAATTTTATGTTACATAATATTAATATAATATATTGATGTATCAAAGTGATAGTAACATGACATATTAATATAACATAATAATGAATTTATGTGATAGTTTCATCTTTCATGATAATCACATAGATATAAATAAAAAAAAATTATGATAGTAATTATAACTTGATTATAACAAGAAAACAAATAATTATTTAAAATTTTATTTTAAAAAAATTATCAATTATGAACAAATAAAATAATTTTATATTTACAATAAAAATCCAAACATAAAAGGACCCATTTCTCTTGTCTTTTTAGCCCCAAGTTTGAAGAGAAAACAAAAGGAAAAAGAAAGCAAGAGAAATACCAATCCATCATCCATCCAAAACTAATTATTTTTATAAAAGTAATTAAAAAAAACACAAAAAAACAAAACAGGAAAAGGATCTTATGTTTGGTTTTTCTTTTCAGTTGTGTCATAAAGAGGAACGAAAAAGAAAGGAAACTAAAAGAAGAGAGGATTTATTTTATTTTCATTACTCGATCATGGCTTCTTCCTCTTCTTCTTCTTCTTCTTTTGTTCGGTGTTTCCTTCTACTCCTCTTCTTCTTCTTCTCGGTTGTGCAAGCTGCGAAAGTACCATTTCACCCTCGAGATGTGCTACCTTTATTGCCCAGACAAGTTTCGTGGCCGATCCTCAACTCTCTTAGCAGCGCCGTTGACCTTTTACCGGCCTTTGTCGGCTCTGTTTCGTCCCAAAACCGCGCCGTAGAATGGAAAGGTGCGTGCTTTTATAAGAACACGGCGTGGATGGAGTTCCATAACAAGAGTGGCAGTCAGTTTGGTGGTGGAACTCTCCATATAAAGGTAACATCTTTGGCTTCTTTTTTTGGTTTGGTTTTGGTATTTAAGTTTTTCTTCTTGATGTCTTGGAATCTGGGTATCACTTGGTTTGATTTGAAAGTGCTGAAATTTTGAGTTTTTCTTTGCGGTTGTTGGAGTGTTATGGTTTCGAGGATTGCTAATTTCAGCTGAAAGTGCTTAAATTTTGGATTTTTTTATTTAATTTAGTTTTGATGGACTGATAGAGGAAGGAAAATGCATGTTTTCCTTATGTTATGGTCATATATGCACATCATTATGATTTATAGTATTTTGGTAAAGTTAGACGATATTTCTTGATAGATTTTTGAAATATAGGATGTTTGCATAACTCAAGCCCAAAATTATGCAGAGTGTTTGCTTATGGGGTGATGGTAGAATTAGTTAGAGTTCTCAGGGACAGAATCATGTGAAAATGATATCTATGTGCTTATCCAGGTTAGCAAAGCCCATAGTTGGACGTGTATGGATCTTTATGTCTTTGCAACCCCATACCGCGTAACTTGGGATTATTATTTTTTGTCTCGGGAGCATACACTTGAAATCAAGGAGTGGGAGGATCGAGCTGAGTATGAATATGTAAGTTGCCATTCTCTGTTAGTTTGACTTACAACAAGTAATAGCTTGTTTCGGTCATGCATCTTTGCAGCATACTCATACATCATTTTTACCTAACATTTAAATTAGGTGAAAAACAAGGGGATTTCGATTTTCCTCATGCAAGCGGGGATGCTTGGAACACTTGAAGCTCTGTGGGATGTCTTCCCCTTATTTACAAATACTGGATGGGGTGAGAACTCCAATATTGGGTTTCTCGAGAAACACATGGGGGCTTCTTTTGAAGCACGACCTCAGCCCTGGGTCACAAACAGCAGTGTTAATGATATACACTCAGGAGATTTCCTTGCAATATCAAAAATTCGGGGGCGATGGGGTGGTTTTGAGACTCTTGAGAAGTGGGTTAGTGGAGCTTATGCTGGTCATACCGCTGTTTGCTTAAAAGATTCTGAGGGGAATCTATGGGTTGCTGAATCAGGACATGAAAATGAGAAGGTAATAGAGTAAAACCCTTTAGTTTACTTTTACCAAATTTAATCCCTAAATGTTATCTCTCTCCCCCTTTATCTTGATAAACAAATATACTTTTGCTGCTGTTGTTTTTTCTGTTGTACTTCAGGTTAATACAATTGATATTTGCCTAATAAGTTAAACTAGCACTAGATAAACACCAAAATTCATTTCCTTGATTATCTGACTTTTTTTTCCCTTCATATGTGTTTAAAAAAATTGAAGAACTTAGAAATTGAATAAAATTGTAGAAAACACATTGTTGTATCCAACATGCTATGCTTTATGTTCATGTATATGGATTTTTATTTGGTGTTGCTACACTTGAAATAATTTTAATTTTGCAGTCGAATCTTTTCGTCCTTTAGTTATTGTGTCCGATCTCAGGTATAACTATGATTGGAATTATCCTATAGGCACTTGTTAATGATGCTCGGTTATTATTTGATCTGTTCTGGGTTGTAGGGAGAAGATATCATTGCAATTATGCCATGGGATGAATGGTGGGATTTTGAGCTGAACAACGATGATTCTAATCCCCATATTGCATTACTTCCATTGCATCCTGATGTCCGCGCCAGATTTAATGAGACTGCTGCATGGGAGTATGCACAAAGCATGGCAGGCCAACCATATGGGTATCATAACATGATATTTAGCTGGATAGACACTATAGATGGGAATTATCCTCCTCCATTGGATGCTCATCTGGTATTTGATATTTATTTTCATATACAAAATTCTAAGGTTTTAGTGTATGCTGCAAAGTTTCTGCCTCTTTACCTTCTTCTTTCTTTATTTCTCTCCTGCTCCATTTTGTTGTTATTGTAATTATTCCTGCAGCATTTGATTTGGTGAGCATTTGTGAAACTATGTTCTAGTAGATATTTTGTTGATCTGTTTCTTCCTCTTTTTATTTTCTTCTTCTTTCCTTTTGCCGTAGGAACCATGCAACTCTGGTTAAATTTTTGGAGTGATATGGAATTAAAACTTGATCATTTGTATGTCTTATATTATTCAATAGTAAAATATTTTGCAATAGGTGTGAATGAGCTTATCTAGACCAGAATGCTGCATTATATCATTTTTAGCACAAGAAATAAAGCTGCAAAGAAGGGAGGTAGAAAAGCACACGAAGATAGGGCGATTAGCAAATCCTAATCTGTTCCTTGTATTAATTGCTAATTGCATAAACAAGGTTGTTAATGCATATAATTCTTCTGCCCTCTCTGTTGCTGCCTCTCTTTTTGGAAAATCTTCAGTCTGCAGGATCTAAACATATGCCTTCTGATCATACAGGTAGCCTCTGTTATGACAGTTTGGAACAAAATACAGCCCGAATATGCTGCTAATATGTGGAACGAGGCCTTGAACAAGCGACTTGGGACTGAGGTAAGGTATATGGTTAATTTGTATGGTAGAAATTGAGTTGGTGGTTTGTTTACACATCAAAGATGATCTGAATTGTTTGAGATATATGTCTTGAAGATAACTTGCAACTTGCTTGATTACATGCATGTCAGTTGGTAATTCTGAGAGCTTCTTAATGATTCGATAGGTGTCACTTGGCCTAGATGCCTTCAAAGACTGATAAGAATATGTATCTCTTTGGTCCTTAAAAGTATTGAATCTATCGGCTATTTTTTGTTTTCTTAGTCAGAAGTTAAAATCAATGTGACACATTATCCTTTGTTTCTCTAACTATTGTGTGTTTACGGCAGGGCCTTGATCTTTCTGATATATTGGTGGAAGTGGAAAAGCGTGGGTCATCTTTTGATGCACTGCTGACCATTCCTGAACAGGATGAATGGATATATAGTGATGGGAAGTCAGCATCATGCATTGCTTTTGTCCTTGAAATGTACAAGGCAGCAGGTCTTTTTGATCCAATTGCTGACTCTATTCAAGTCACTGAGTTCACGGTGAGCTTATTTTTGAGTAAAGTCTTTTATGTTTAGGGTGATGGGATCTCCCTTTCAAAATACTCCTTCAATTTATTTGCACAACAAGCTCCTCTGAGTAGTTTATGATGCAAGCTCTTGTTGATTCAAATTAATACTGAAAACACAGATCAAGGATGCTTACACTCTAAGGTTTTTCGAGAATAATTCCAGCCGGCTGCCGAAGTGGTGCAATGACGCAGATGATGTAAAACTTCCTTATTGTCAGATTCTAGGGAAGTACCGAATGGAACTACCTGGATTTAATTCCATTGATCCATACCCCCATATGAATGAACGGTGTCCTTCCATGCCTCCAAAGTACTTCAGGCCACAAAACTGCTAAACAGCTTCGATTCTCCCATTTGTCATTATGCCAATGCCAACCACTACTATTAGCACATCTATTGTTTGAGCCAATTCTATGCAAGATGCCACTAGAAATTGTGTTTCAACATCAGTTGTAAATATGGTGATCAGACTAGGATTGGAAGATGTCAGGTATTGAATTGTTGTACACGACAAGAAAATAGAACATTTGTACGGACAGAATCACGAAAGCCATTCTTTTAGTCAAAATTAGTTTTATATGTGGAGCTGTAATGTTCTAATTTTTGCTTGGTATGATTCACAGCTAACATAATTTGTTGGGAAACATTTAGGCCGTCTTGAGAGTTAAATTTGGAACATTTAGTTCTTCGGCTAGAAAAACCCTAGTCTGGGATTATGATTCTGAGGTCCTTACACTATATTCTACAGGCCTGCTTAATCTTTCCACAAGATTAAATTGCGCATGGTTTGATCAGCAATAGAGAACTTTGCAGGATTCTTTGATGCAATCAAAGATTTCAGTTTCCATGACCAAGAGATAAGAATATCAGATTAGTTTTCTCGGACTGAGTTGAACTGGTAATCCTTTAGTTGGAGCAGGCATGGGGTCCCTGCTGAAAAAGTTGTCTGAACATAGTAACTTCCAGGTGAACCGAGTAACCAGATAATGAAATGAAACAAGGGTTTCAATCCTTGCAAACTCGTAGCCTGGACATATCCTAGGTCCCCCTCCGAATGGAATGAAGCAGTAGGGAGGAATTGAAGCTGGATTTTCGAATCTAGCAGGATCAAATTTTGATGGTTCTGGAAATATGCTATCATCCGTGTGTGTGATGCCCGTAACCCAGAAAATCTTAATGGGAACGAGTAGATTATCAGTAAGACAACAGAGAAATAAAACGTGACATACTGAGAGAAAGGGGAATGGAGTTTATGGTTTCACTTACTTGCCAGTCCTTGGGGATAAGATATCCACCGTACTCGATATCTTTTACAGCTTTCCTGAAGCCTCCAAAGATTGGTGGGAACAGCCTCAGAGTTTCCATTGCAACTTTCCATGTGTACTTCATCTTGGCCAGGTCTTCCCAAGTCAGAAGCTCCCCATCAGGCTTGCTCTTTGCTATCTCTTCTTGTTCTGCAGCCACAAATCAACAAGCACCCCAATATCTAAGTCTCTTTGCTGTAACACTGTCACCATCCCAATGTAAGGTTTAACTGCTTTCACTTAAGGGTTTGTTACCTAGTCTACTCCCCTTGGTGATAAAGGAATAGAGTGTATACCTTGAAGAACAGCTGCATAAACAGCAGGATCATTAGCTAAAAGGCGCACTAAGAAAGTGAGCAGAACAGAAGAAGTGTCATGTCCGGCAACCATAATGAGCATAACATTGTGAATAATCTCCTTCTCTGAAATCACTTCCTCATTCTTCTCATTGCGGATGCTAAGCAGACAAGTGATGAGGTCTTGGCGAGAAGAAGCACCCTTATGCTCCAGATCCATTCTCTTCTCACCAATTAGACCTTTCAACATTTTCTGTGCCCTTGCACTTGCCTGAAGGCCGTGGTTGTAGCGTGTGAAAGGCAGATTAACCGGTACTGACCACATTCCTTCTATCATGCTTTAGAAATCATCAACAAGCTTGTCTCTTCTGGTTCCTCGTTCAAGTCCAAATAGAAGGGAGCAGATTATGTTGAATGTGAGGGTTTTCATCAGTGGTAACACCTATCAGGACAGGAAGAAACATGGATAAGATTTGTAGGAGAGAAATGAAGGCCTAATTCTCCACAGTGCAATGATAAGTTGTCTAATTTTCCAGGATTTGATTTTCTAAGGTTAGATACCATTTTTCTCTGATTACTGGAAAGCAGGGTCACTGTTCAGTAACATACCTTGACTTGTTGCTTGCCATGCCAATGCATCTCAAGGTGCTTCCTGACTTCTTCATCCATCTTCCCAACATACTCCTTTAACGATTCAGGTTTCAAGAATGATACAAGGGCATCTCTAACTCGCTTATGATCTTCCCCAGTCAGTTCTAGAATACACCGATCACCCAGAATTGCAGTAATTGACTTCACTTGCTGGTTAACAATGGTGCTGCTGTCACTGGTGAATACAAACTTGTTGGCAGTCTGTCCATAAATGAATACAGATGGTTTGCCAAAAAGACTCATCTTTGATATCGGACCATACTTCCTTATCCTTTTCTGAAGCCATTCTTCTGCAGTGTTGGTTCGCATGGCCCGGAGAAGGCCAAGGCTTTGACCTATTATTGGCAGTCCTAGTGACCCTGGAGGAAGCCTTTCTGATGGTCTCTTTCTCCTGGTTAGGAGAAGGAAGATGGGGATGAGAAACAGGACAATAGTGATGATGGTATTCATGGCTGATAGCCGGAAGGAGTGGAGTATGGAGACAGGAACAGCTGATGGCTGTAGTAGGGGAAATTCAGGGAGAAGAAATCATTGATCTTCTTTTGTTGGCTTTTGGAGTGGAATCTAGACCTTGATATAACACTATCATGGTTAGTATCACACGCCATCCAATTTTTTTTTAATTTCTTCTGTCTTACCATCGTTGGATTATTGATGTTTCCTTTTCATTACCAAATGAAGAGAATCTTGCAAACAAGATTCTTCGTTGCACCAGCTTTGGAAGCTTTGTTTGAACCTATATATTCCACTAAAAGTTCAAAATTTCGCCGGTGATAAGTTAAATTAGGCCAAAATATAGGGTTAAGTGCTTTAAATTCCTTTCCTTTGAACTTAACATTTGGTAATTTGGAAGGAAGACAAAAGGTAGGTACAACCATCTATATCCTGCAGTGTCAATGACAAAATCCTGCAGTTTCTGGTTCCAAGGCAAGCCTGGATGCCTGCAAATTCAGAGAGAATATATTCAGGATGCAAATTCATATTAGGATTTGCATCAAATACTCACTCTATAAACCTGATCTTGTTAAGAAATTATGTGAATTATTCATTTCAAGAACACAAGAAATTTGAACTTAAAAAGAAGGGAATTCTGTAGAAACAACATAATTTTTGGTCATAAACCTGGTTCTTTACTTTCACATAAAACAAAGGCTATCTTTTGCATCATACACACATTAGAGTATAGCACATGTGATACAATTTCATTCAAGAAATTAAAGTTTCCCAATAAAAGCATCCGAGCTTCACTGATCTTGACGGATCTGTTAAAACTGGTAATGTCAATGCACTCAACACTGTCATTCAGCCTTGGCTGGAATGCGATTGCCACCGGTCACAATTTTATACAAGTAAAACCCGGTCATAAGAGCACTGCAAAGAAATGACACATTAGTTTGTAGCTCTCAAAATTTTGAATGAATGTCAAAATAACAAAAGAAATCTAAAACCCCAAGTCAAAAGACAAGTGAAAAAGGGGTAGGGGACTAGAAGATACGTATAACAGATGATTTAACTTTATCCCAAAAATGAAAAAGAACAGAGGATTAAGGTTACACCCTAAAACTTTTGCATCACAAACGAAAATAATATGAGTTAATGATCTGAGACTCAGTTTCATGTAGAATGTACATAGATAATGGAGCATATGATCTGAGACTCAGTTTCATGTAGAATGTACATAGATAATGGAGCATAACAATATAACCCTCATGAAAGAATCAGAAAATCTGGAGACCTATATACAAGGCAAAATGCAGAATGCAGGCATTATGCAATAAGTATTAGGTATGAATGGACTGGACATGGAGGTTTGATAACTGGGCAAATCTTAAGGTCATAATCGTATGATATTCTTATCCATAGATGATTTTTGTTAGCTTTTAATTGATATAAGGATCAATCTTGTGATGCCAGAAAAAATTAATGAATAGATTACCCAGTAGAATTATAACAGTAATGATATAATGTGATATGAACGTACTGAATACAAATAGGAGATGAACAATACCTGATCCCAGCGACAATTCCGGCTGGCATAATCTTAGATGTCTGGTAATAACGTTGTCCCATGACCCATGTCAGCACAGCAGCAGTAACTGATTTTAAGGTAAATAAATCAGTAAAAAAGAACAAAGTTTGTTGTCATTGAAAGGGATGATAAGAAAGCAAGCACACAATAGAAAGTCTCCTTCCATGAACATAACCCACAGTGGAAATCAGATATCTGTGATAATCTATATTTTCTCAAATGGTCTATTAAGACCGACATTGACAAATGTCCTGAAATATCACATCTCAAAATCTAGCAAGAATGTTGAATTTCATGTGATGAAAGCTTCTCAATGATACTGCATCAGAGATCAAACACAGTTACCGCTATGATAGTTGAGAAAAGTCATTTCAAAGCTACAACAAAGACCATTTTCTTACAACGTCAGCTAGCATCACCTCGGATCTACAATAGCCAAGCTAATTCTTAAGTTCCAGAATGCAACACCTCAAATTTATAAACAAAAGCAACCACATCAAGTTTAATGTTACAAAAATCCATTGCAGCACCAAACCTTTGACTCATAAGCTACAAAAATCAAAACTTTTCCATCTCCAAAACTTGAACAACAATCAAATTTAGTACCTTTAAATTACAAACTTCATTTCTTTCCTAATTCCAAATCAGAAAGGTAATTGAACAAAAACCCAAATCAATTTACCACAAAAAATTCATAAACAAAAGAAAAAGAAAAAATTATGCAAGAAAGTTAAGATTTTGAAAATCTTACCAGTCTCAAGAACCAAAGCCAAATAAGAGTTCTTTCCCTTCTCAAAAGCCTTAAGGCTCAAATATCCAGCAAGAATGAGAACCAATCCAGTGCCTACACCCCCAGCAAGTGATGCTGTGCTCCCTTTCTTCAAATACCCAACAACTCCTCCAGCCACAAGAATCAATCCATAAGGGATTGTGAAGCAAAAATCATGCATTTTGGGAAAGCTTTTCTTGGTTTCTTTCTTTCTCCTTCAAATGGGTTCTTTCTTGAAGAAAAATTTAAGAGTAAACTGATTGAGTTGAACAGATCAAAGGGAAAGAAATGGGTTTTTATTTTGGCTGAAAGCTTTTTCCCAAAGGTGGTGGCTTGTGCCTGGCATGTGGAGTTTTCAGTTGGTCAAAGGCTCCAATGTTTTTAACTACTTTAATTTTGTTTATTTGCAAGATTTGCCCCCAACTTATATAAAGATTTCAATTTTGTCCTCCATTGTTTAAGCATAATTAATAATTTCTTTTTTTTATACTGTAAGATAATTTCTTTAGAAAAGGTAGCTAGAATTTCCTTTTATTGCATAACTAGAAAAAATGAAAGATAATTTTTGTGCAAATATTTTCCTAAAAATATTATTTATTTATTACTTTATGAATATTTTATGGAAATTATTATATCCACATATTTATGATATTTATTTATCCTTCCTTATTGTAAAGATATTTCTTTCCCAAAAAAAAAAGAAAAAAATATTTTTACAAGGAAATTACTAATTAGTAAATTAAATGGATTTTAGGAGCAACCTTAATTAAATTAAGTTAATTAATCCAAACATTACAAAAATTGTTGAGAATCTTTGTGAAACGACATCGTTTAAGCTCTTCAACTAGAGAGATCAAGGGTTTAAGAAGGGTTATCAAATACTAAACCACCAATAAACCTTCCACTGTGTTCATCAAATGGTAATCCATTTTCGGACTCGGATCCGATCTCCAGCCCGAACCTATCTATTCAATCCATTGCCCAGTCCTTTACGAACCCAAACCCCTAAATCTTCGAAATCCCTGGAAATGTCTACAAACCAATCGAAACCAAAAAGACCCGTATGTCCATCATGCTCCAAACCTGCCCGAACCTGCCTCTGCGATCGGATACGGACCCGGAACCTTGACAATTCGGTAAGTGTAACGATTCTTCAACACAGTTTAGAAAGAAATCATCCTTTGAGTTCTACTAGAATTGCAAAATTAGGGCTTAAGAATCTCAACGTGGTCACTGTTTTTGAAGTTGATTTTGAGGCCCGGTTCGAAATCAGGTTGTTGGAACCGGGTCATGAGTCGGGTCTTGGTCGGGTTGGATGGGAAAGTTCTGAGTTTGGTCAAGTAGGGGGAAAGGAAGAGAAGCAGAAAGTTGGTTTTGAGAGTTTTGGTATCGAAGTTGAGGGAAATGAGAAGTGTCCGGATGAGAAAAGTGGGGACTTGATTGAAAGAAACGGAGAATTTAGTTTGAAAAATGATGTTAGTAGGAGTCGAAACGCTGGAAATTCCTTAAAAGGTTTGGATTTTGTGGAGAATTTAGATGCTTCTAATGGTGATGAGCTGTTGTTAGAGTTAACTGGTAGAGAATGCCGTGGTGCAAGAGGTTCAATGCCTATGGAGAATCCTAGTGAGAAGTTAGAGAAAGGGTTTAATTTGGATGCTAATGTGTTAAATGAAGCTGCTCTAGATGACAGAACTGATTTGGGTCAAAATGGAGCTGTTCCTAGAGATAGAGGAGGACCTGTCATTAGTGCTACTATGATTAGGTATGGACGTATTACTGATCTTTCTCAAATTTGGAAGGTGGACATACATGGAAAGAAGCTGAAGTTTGATCACATTTTGGCCTCTCTGTTCGCCAGGGATGCTTTGGCCGGAGGATTTGTTGTGAAAAAATTTGAAAGGCGGAAATTGGATGGGAAAATGGAAGTGGAAGAGAATGAAGAGTTTGAAGTCAAGGTTCCTCCTGGATCAATACTCCTATTCCCAAGTCAAAATGCAGTTGGAGTTGAAGACCTCAAGTCTATGGATTTTGAGGTGAAGAATTTGATCGTTTTGGATGGGACATGGTCCAAGGCTGGGAGAATTTACAATGAGAACCCCTGGTTGAAGCTTTTGCCACATTTGAGGTTGGATTTGGATAAGATGAGCTTGTATAGTGAAATAAGGCATCAGCCAAAGGCAGGATATTTGTCAACCATTGAGAGCATTGTGTATACCTTGAAGGCTTTGGGAGACAATGTCGATGGATTGGACAACCTCTTGGATGTTTTTGAGTCCATGGTTGGGGATCAGAGGCGACTTAAAGATGAAAGGTTGAGCAAAGCCTCCGAAGATCGAATGTACTAATTTTTGCATTCTCGGTTAACATTGTTTCAAACTGAGGTGATGTATACAAATTTGCTAGTGATAAAATGCGTTGTAACTATTGAAATTCTGAACAACTATTCTTGCAGTCGCTTCTGACTTGTTCCTTATAAATTGTTTGCATATACTGTTTCTAAAATGGATGTAGCTTTTGGCTTTCTCCATAGCCATTAACTTGCAATGTTTAACCTTGCAGGCTTTGACCAATGTTAAGATAGTCCTATGCTAACTTTGCAAAGTTAATGTCTGCAAATTGCAGCCTCATAGCAATGCTGATGTTAAGCTTAAATGAGAAGAACAATGGCTTGCAATGAGTGGAATACAAGATAACTCAGACTAGAAAGCACCTTCATCTGACCATTTTCCAGGTCTCGGCGGAAAGTCAAAAAGGCATACAGCCACTAGCAGGGACATAATTGAATAATACAAAAAATTAATGGGGCACCAATGAAGAAATTTGTAATCACTAAAATGCCCCTCAATGAATTGTAAGTTCAAAAATCACCTTCTTCTTCTCTTTTTCATTTCCCAGATTGCCATTAGCAACCAATCTTTCTTCTTCCAGAAACAATGCAAAAACTCCTCTCACGTCCACTCTCAGCCCCACCGAAACCCTGCTTCTCTTGTTTCTTCTCCCTCTCTCCCTCGAAAACTACTTATGACCCTCCATTTTCCCTTATTTCCAAACCCCCCCAAAACCCAAACCAAAGCCACCCGACTCTTACCACCAAACCAAACCCGTCTCCTCCTCTCAAGTCAAACCTCCCATTTGATTTCAGACACTTGTACTTCGAAACCGACCCCAGTCTTGAGCCCATTGGGTTCGGAGAACCCAAGAGGTTTTCTCCATTTGGGCGAGACAGGCTTGATAGGGAATGGACTGGCACTTCTGCCCCAGCCCGGGATGAAGTGGATGGTTGTCGGGTCGAGGAGGAGGGGAGACGAATTCTGGTGGAGCCACTTATGGAGGAGGAAGTTGAGCAGTTAGTTGAAAAGAATCGGCATAGTGACTGTTCTAGGCAGATCAATCTGGGTAATTCTCTTTTCACCTTTTTTTTGTTTGAAAGACCGTTCTTGTAATAAAAAGGTGAGAGCTTTTCATGTTTTTTATATGATTTAGTCAAGTTTGTTGGTGTATCAGTATGAACTGATTTAAGTTTGCAACTTTGCTGGATTGACAGAACTTAGGTAATCTTCATCAGTAATAGCTTGGAATCTACTTATGTTAAGCTTTCTTTTACATGTTGCTGGAATGAAAGGTTGGATTTTAGAGATTAGTGTGTGTGTGTGTGTGCGCGTTAGGGAAGAATGGGGTCACTCACAACATGTTGGATGACATTCACAATCATTGGAAGAGGGCTGAAGCGGTAAGGATCAAGTGTTTGGGAGTGCCAACTCTTGACATGGACAATGTCTGCTTCCACCTTGAGGTTTGAACTGATAACAGTCTCCCATCAGTTGGATGACGTGTTTTGTTCTTCTGGGATTTCGGATTATTATTAGCTGATCTAGATAGTAGTGTTTCTGTAGTATAAATCTGGGGGGAAGATCATCTACCGCAACATAAATGTCCTCCTTTTGTATCGTGGTCGAAACTATGACCCCAAGAACCGACCAGTCATACCTCTTATGCTGTGGAAGCCTTATGCTCCTATATATCCGAAGCTTGTGAAGAATGTTGCTGATGGCCCGACATTTGAAGAAACCCAAGGAAATGAGAAACAGAGGACTACACTCTCCCGCTCTTATGAAACTTGGTGAGTTTTCTGGAGAAATTTCTGAATTGCTACGTCCTTCAAACTTTGTAAGCTTGCATGAGTTGGTTCTTTCAATAGACTCTCCAATGTTGGTAACAAGCTCTGCTTCAAACAAGTTAAATTTGAAAGTTATGCTATTGATTTTCTATACATAAAGAAAAATATAAAATTTATTAATTAATAAATACTAAAATATGAATTTATTGTACTTGATAAAAAAGTATTTAAATATTGAGAAAAAAATACATATTTTTAAAAAATGTCAAAAAAAACAAAAAGAAGTGTTAAAAGTCAATAATTTAGAAAAATTAGGTAACAATTATTTACATATTTGATAATTTAAAAAAGAAAAAAAAAGATTAGATAAAGAACAAATGAGAGCATTGTTGAAGGAAAAATGAAATCAAATTTATTATAAAAAGAGATTTCATTTCCATAGACAAAAAGTGAACCCTGACTTGGGCCAGGAAATGTTATTAGGTATTGTTAATCCGTTTGACTTTTAATATTTGGATTTGGAAATCAATATTTTGCAAATTTATTTATTTATTTCTATATTTATGATAATATTTAATAATATCCTATGTGTAGAGTTAATTAGTATGATATGATTTACAACTCTGAAATATGTATAAACATATGCTAAATTTCGAACATTTATTATATATTTTTATCATTTTTACACATTCTTTTACCGATATTTATGAATATATTTATATTTGTCCATGTGTGCACCCATTATCCAGTAAACTGGCTTCTTCTATCTCTTCTTCTTCCTCCCCTTGCGGCCGGCTTCTTTCTATTTCTTCTTCTCTCTATTTCTTTTTTTTTTTTATTTCTTTCCTTCTCCTTCTCTTTCTCTTCCTCTCTTTACCCCCCTTGCCGCCGGCCTTCCTTCCAGTCAGCATTTTTTCTTCCCTTTCCCTCTCTTTCTCTTCTCCTTCGGTCGGCCTTCACTCTCCCTGTCTCTTCTCCACCGATCGGCCTTCCCTCTCTCCCTATTTCCTAGCGGGATCTCCCTCTTTATTCCCCTAATATTGTACCCGCAAAACCCTTTTTTTTTTTGTTTTCTTTTTGATTGTGGCTGCTGGTAATTTAAGATTCTTTTTGGGTTCTTGGTTTTTTGGTTTGGAGGATCTGTGTTTTTTCTGTTTGAATCTGACTTCTTTTTTTTGGTTTCAGAAATCTTTCCCCTGGTTTGCAATTCGGTTTTTTTTATACGTGTTCAATTTTTGACAATCAGAAGCTTTCAAGTTAAAACAAATCCATCGAAAATGACCTCTAAATCAAGGAGCATTCAATGTTTTGTTGTATATTGATGACAATGGAGGTCAAGCGCGCTGCCTGCTAATTTGGTTTAATTAATTTATTTTATTTTATTTATTATTCATTATTAACAAAGGTGTCTGCATCCGGTCTAGGTAGAAAGTTTAAAAAGGCATACAGCTACTAGCAGGGACACAATTGAATCATACAAAAAATTAATGGGGCACTAATCGAGAAACTTGTAGTCACTAAAATGCCCCTTAATGAATAGTTAGTTTTAAAATTATCCTCTTCTTCATTTTTTTCCATTCTCAAGACTGCTATTGGCACTCAATCTTTTCTTTCCAGAAACAATGCAAAAACTCCTCTCACGTCCATTCTCAGCCTCACCAAAACCTTGTTTCTCTTGTTTCTTCTCCCATTCTCTCTCCAAAAGCACTTATGACCCTCCATTTTCCCTTATTTCCAAACCCTCAAAACCTCCAAACTCCAAACCAAAGCCACTCGATTCTACCACAATCAAACCTCGTCACCTCTCAAGTCAAACCTCCCATTTGACTTTAGGCAGTCGTACTCCGAAATCGACCCCAGCCTTGAGCCCATTGGGTTTCGAGAACCCAAAAGGTTTTCTCCATTTGGGCCGGGCAGGCTTGACAGGGAATGGACTGGGACTTCCGCTCCGGCTCGGGATGAAGTGGATGGTCGTCGGGTCGAGGAAGAGAGGACACGGGTACTAGGGGAGCCACTTAAGGGGGAGGAAGTTGAGCAGCTGGTTGAAAAGTATCGACATAATGATTGTTATAGGCAAATCAATCTGGGTAATTCTCTTTTCAACTTTTTTTTTTTTGTTTCAAAGTCTGTATTTTTAATAAAAAAGTGAGACCTTTTCATGTTTTTATATGATTTGGTTAAGTTGCTAGTGTATTCATATGAACTGCTTAAGTTAACAACTTTGTTGGATTGACAGAATCTAGGTAAGTTTCATTAGTAATAGCTTGGAATCTATTTGCATTAGGCTTTCTTTCACTTATTGCTGGAATGAAAGGTGGGATTTTAGAGATTAGTGTGTGTGTGTGTTAGGGAAGAATGGGGTCACTCACAACATGTTGGATGACATTCACAATCATTGGAAGAGAGCTGAAGCTGTAAGGATCAAGTGTTTGGGAGTGCCAACTCTTGACATGGACAATGTCTGCTTCCACCTTGAGGTTTGAACTAAGAACAGTCTCCCATCAGTTTGATAATGTGTTTTATTCTTTTGGGATTTCGGATTATTAGTAGCTAATGTAGATGGTAGTATTTTTGTAGGATAAATCTGGGGGAAAAATCATCTACCGCCACATAAATGTCCTCCTTTTGTATCGTGGTCGAAACTATGACCCCAAAAATCGACCAGTCATACCTCTTATGCTGTGGAAGCCTTATGCTCCTATATATCCGAAGCTTGTGAAGAATATTGCTGATGGCCTGACATATGAAGAAACCAAGGAAATGAGAAACAGAGGACTCCACTCTCCTGCTCTTATGAAACTTAGTGAGTTTCCTGGAGAAATTTCTAGTCTGATTTTGTTGTGTTAACAATGGTTTATTAAGTGAGTGATTGATGATATCAATGGATCATTCAGGTAAATACTAATGGTTCAATTTTATGTTCAGCAAGGAATGGCGTGTATGTAAATGTAGTGGTAAGAGTCAGGGAGGCCTTCCAGACTGAAGAGGTAGTTAGACTAGACTGCACCCATGTTGGTACCAGTGACTGCAAAAGGATAGGTGTGAAGCTAAGGGTATGACTGATACTTAAAAGCATTTTGAAAGAAATTTTAATGTTCTTTAGTTCAATACTAATTCCCAGGGTTTGTTTCTTTTTCCTGTGAATGCAGGACTTGGTTCCCTGTGTACCCATTTTATTCAAGGATGAACAGATTATACTCTGGAGAGGAAAGAGAGATCAAGAACTGAATTCTGATATTTCGGATGCCAATGTAAAATCTCTGGATACGTAGTTGAGGTTGCAATGTGGGCAAGACTAGATCATTGCTACTTGTAAATTTCTAGCTCATTAGCTTTTCCAATCATTATTATTATTATTATTATTATCTTATAATATGACAAGCTGTTGGTATATCTGACCATAATTCAGTAATCCAGTGATCATGGATCCCAAAAGACATTTAGAACTTTAACTCATGAACCATTCTGTCAATTCATTTTTTATTATGAATATATTTTCCCCTCTTGATGTTATCCAATGAGCAAAATCACGAACCACTTTCTCCATCGTCAGTTTCCAATAACAAACTAGACTGTTGGAGTATAGTTAATGCTTTGTAAATTTCCACCTTAAGGCTTCAACGGAATTAATAGAACGGAACAATCCTTGACCAATTCCACACATAACCAAAATCTCAATTGGTATTTCAAAATCTTCCGGAAAAAGGGAACACGTCAAGAAACACGACTTGACATTATCATCTTCCTAGTAATCATAACTAAGCTCAAGACTGCTATAGATACCTCCACAAACTTCTTGATTATCCAAGGTCTTGAGTCGTTGATTTGCTACCATCCACCCATTTAGATTTCTACCTTTTAGAAGAGCTTTTGCCAAAGTTACGATTGCAAGAGGCAAACCATCGCATTCACGAGCAACCTCCTTGGCTACGTTTAAGGTGGGGGAGTCATCTTCTACATCAGCTTTATCTTTGAATAAAGCCCACGCTTCATTTTCAGATAAGATATTGACAATTCATCCGAGTGCAAACTTGTTGAAGACGCGTGGTTAAAAAAATTTTGCAACCGATGTGACCATCATCAAATGGAATTCCTATAACCTTCAAGTCAAGTTCTTCCCAAACATCATCAAGGATTATAAGGATGCTCGTCATGCCTTTTATTCTCAACCACAATTGTGCTGCTCTTCCTTCTTCAGTCACCTTTTGAAAATTTAAATCTAGGAAGGCTGCAACTTGGTCTTGAATATTGTTGATGTTTGCAGTTTGGGACACAGTTAGAAACACAACTTGATCGAAGAGATATTCGGCTTGCCTTCCCACCACTCTTGCCAAAGTGGTTTTACCCACTCCTCCCATCCCATATAGTCAATCATGTTCACATCATCCTTTTGCAAAGCCTCCATGATCTCTTTGAAAGCCAAATTCGAGGATTCAGAAGGCATGAAATCTTTAGATGGAATGAACTCTAATCTTGGAAGAGGAGGACGCTGACCGACTCGTTGAAAATTGCAGGCCTCTGCTAAACCCCAGCCAGGACACCAATTGGTAGTTTTAACGGCTTTCATGGAAAAATACTTTAATTAACCACTAATGAAAAAGAAAATAGAGAAAAAAATAGTTTTGATTAGTCGTGGTCTAATAGATTATCTCCATTCTAAAATTGACAAAGAAACATCAATGTGGAATTAGAAGTCTTCTTTGGCTTTCATCTCGAAAGAATTGAATAAGGTAAAAGCTCATTCTATCAAAAAAAAAAAAAGATTTATCAAGAGCTTTTCACAAAATTTTGATATTAGATATAATAATGTTTTTCCCATAAGATTTCAAGAAATTGAAATTTTATAAGTTGATAAGCGAGAAGATCAGTAACCTGGAAATCATGGACCATGATCCACCCAAGTCCTAAACATATAAGCCTGGTCACTGTACATTAACAAACAAGATCATTATCCAAAAATCATTTTGTTGGTTTTACCATATTCCCAATCCCATCTCCATTGCATTCTAGTTATAGGTATAAAGGGCACCCCAAGAATGCTTTTGTTCCTCCTACTCTCCCGAGTCTCTTTCTTACTGTTATTTTCTTTTATCCAAATCACAATGGACCCAAACATCTTTCTCTAAACCAAAGAGATGAGCTTACAAGAAGAAATTAATACTGGAAAAGGTACTGATGCTTTTTTGAAACTTATCTGTCTATCAGAGACAAATACCAGTTTTTAGCTCTCTGCTTCACACAAATGCCATGTGTGGAGTGGACCTGTAGAAGATAAAAACAGTTCATTTGGACACAGAAAATATTGCATGTAAATTCTGCAGATGTATAATCAAATGCAAAAACCAAAGACAAATAAGCCATAGAAGAAGGAGATGCACATATACACCAAGGAAAGATGAAGTTTCAGGAGCCAAGGCTAAGCTTTTATATATTATGATCAAAGAAAACTCATGTAGAAATCAAGTTAGAACTACAATAATCAGAAGCCCACTAGCAGAGGGAATTATACATGAAACAACAGTTAATCCTTCTTCGGGTAGCAAAAACAATTTAATACAGAAAAACCCCAAAGCTGGAGAAAAAATTTTGAGTAAGTGATATTCCAAAATTATTGGTCCCTTTATTTTTCTCATTTTCTTCAATTATTTTTTGGTATTTATTTCTGACCTACTGGGTGGTTGTTTTATATGGAAAAACATTTATGTATACGTCAAAAAGAGTTGGATAGTATGCCCCGACGGCCGAGGTTTGTTGGATACATTGCTTGTTGATTTCATTGCCCAGCCCATTTCCGATGAAAAGCTGTTGTTGCCAATGAAAATTGATGTACATGCCCATCTCAGCAACCTTGTTGGTTCACCCATCAGACTGCATTTCAGACATAAGGGAGTCTCTCTTGACCTCATACAAGTTTGTTATTGTCATGCGATATAAAACCAGTGTTTGTATTTTAAACATAGTACATTGGAAGCTTAATAATGTTGGTTGTAGGCCAAATAATACAGCCGTCAAATAAGGAATGGACTGAAAGAAAGTTGATGCCAATCCCTTCAGATTGTAGGTATGGCAGGCCCTTTTTGGACTGCAGATGACATGTGATGCGTAAGTTGTAAAACCAAACTCTTCTTGAACAATGGGAGGACTTGGTACGACAAGAGCATTAAACTTTCTCAATGCCCAATGCTATTAGATTCATATGATGTCTAATAACCAGGTTGTACAACGACAAGATTCCCTCCCATGCCACAAATCATCTTTCCAGTTTTGATGTTCATCTTCACTTCCTAACCATGGAAATTTACTAGTTTCATCCATTCTATATAGGAAACAAAGGAATCCAGATATATATATACATACATACACACACACACACACACACACACACACACACACGCAAGATGGAACATCAGTATAACGGAAATGTGATGAAATGGGAATGTGATTGATTTAATGGACAAGCTGCAAGCTGTAGCTGATTAACATAAAACAAATAGGACAACTGCAAGGGGGAACTTCAAATGGCAATGGCCTAGTAGCCACTCCCTATTAAGCTAAATTACATGAAGGGAATGAGCATATTACTTATTCATACTATGACTATGATAGACATACATATATACATCAAACTTGTGTAGCAAAAACTTAGCCCAGACCTAGAGAAGCAGACCATGAAGGCTTTTACCATTTTAGGGAGATATAAGAATTTTCCTTGATTCATAATTCTTTTCTGCAAGGCACCCAGAACCGATGAGAGAGGTTATCCAAACCTGATCAGACCTCACTGGTTCATCATCATCATTCCGGTGCCAGCTCCAAAATGCATGAGTGGAATTCACTATCTTTAGCTCACCATGACCAAAGCTTGCTTCACGGAACATTGACCACTCAGGTTGTGGTTGTCGGAATCTGTAAGTAAATTTACAGCACTTAATGAAATTGCAGCCCATAATAAATTTGCATGAAGGTTTAAACTATTAAAGCCAAGCTTAATTTGTAGCTGGAAGTTGTTAGACCACACAAGATAAATGCATGATGTTCAATTTGTACATCTGGAATCAAAATTATAAACAATTTAACTTATGCTAATAATATTAATGTTTTCCAATTAGATTTGATATTTCAGAAAGGTTTCTGCAGAAGAGGACATACTTTGCAGCTAAACCTTCTCTGTTGCCTCCATCTCCGACAGTAATATGAACAGCACCACAAGGATCTGATTTTCCATTGTTAACACGTTTCTGTCAAGTAGAGAACCACATATCATAAACCCATTGTAACAATATGAAGGAACAAAGCTAAGCAAGTATTGACATACAGAGCGCTCATAAGCATGAACATGACCAGCAAGAACTAAATCAACACCAGCAGCATAAAGCAGTGGTTCCATGGCTGCCATCATCCCATCTCCTTCACCTTGATGAGCATTGTTGCTATTGTACCATGGAACATGGAATAACACAACTAACCAGGGCGTCTTTTTCCGATCCACCTTTGAAAGATCAGCCTACCAGATTTAAAGACACGAAACTTCATCAGTTAAAAGCACAACTAGAGATTTCATTATAATCATGACAGAACTACACTCTTTCTAATAGGCCACAGAACACTTCGTGTCCTTGTGGTTCGAGAGAAACCACTTATCAGAGGAAAGGAAAACCCAACCTTCAACCAGCTATATTGATCTGAAAGCTCATCATAATCTGTATATGAACCAAGCATGACAACATGGACTCCTGCAACTTCAAAAGAATAATAAAGATTGGAGGTTGATCCACTTTCCTCAAAAGGCATTTTCCATCTTGCATTATAGGACTGAAATGCATCCGTAAATAGTGGTATCTTCTCCTTTTCATGGTTGCCTTCTGTTACCATCCATGGTCTGGCACTTGCAAGTGGCTGCACCAGCTCACCGAAGGTGTCCCAACGATGCTGCATGTAATCGGCATATGAAAGGTCCCCAGGAAGCAGATGTATATCATATTTGCATTGATCAATGTGGTCTAGTGTTGATTTAGTCCAGCCAGTTTGACCTAAATCCCCAGCCACAGCAAAAGTAACAGGAAATTGAGCTGGAGGGGTCTTGAGCTGAAACTCAGGACCTTGTCCTCCACATCGATAAAAATAAACCGTATCATGTTCCAGAGGTCCAACGACAGTGTGGTGTATCTTTCCTGAGCTATAGAATAGGTAACTATAAGAGGTGGTGTCTCCTTCAGCTGAAGAGGTGTATATCCCTGGTGAGGTTCCATATTCAACAATTGAAGGAGCGGATTTATCGTCAGTGACCCATGAGATTTGCATGTGTTCTTCTCCTGCCAAGGATATGTGTACCTGCAACATATATTTGTCAAGCAATAAGCTTTTGAACTAAATGGCAACATGAAGGAGGTCTTGATGGAATTACTGGGAAATTAAATAATCCATACAAAAACCACTGAATCAACTCCTATGGAAATACTGTTATAAAACTTATAACAGTAGACACTCGTAATTCCTTTTTTTCTTGATTTGGGAAACTCGATCTTCACTTCACACCACAAGACCATGATCAATAGTAAGACTGTTATTGCAGCAAGCATCATATTATATCTTTTAAGAATCATTCCAACACAGCTGTGTATCTTGCTACAAAACAAAACATTTCTTTTGCTCCTTAAGAAGAATCTAGCTCTGATGTTTTGATCCATGCATGCCTAATACTCTACGCTGCATTTCTTAGTTTCAACATAAGCATCATTAATCTCAAATCCACAGATAATATTTTCTAAAAAGTTTTCAGAGAAAGTCTATAACTCTAATAATAGATATCTATCACAATAGATTGCTCAATGTAAAAAAATCTGATCATGCAGGTCTAATCAGCTCCAGAAAAAACCAAATTTATTAGCTTAAATTGAAGTTTTGTAGACAGCAGATACACAAAATCCAAAGACAAATTTGGCTGTAAAAACAAAAAAAAAAAAAAATGCAAAACTTTCTCAAGAAAAATCCATTTCGTGGTAATTCCATTTCTCAAAACACAAATCCCCACAGATTTTCAGAGAAACAAAAGTCTCAAACCCAAAATTTCCGCAAAAACTCTAATAAGTTAAAAAAGAAAGATCTTTTCTTTCAACAAGATGAACCCAGAAATGCAAAAACAAGAAACAACCCAGATCAGATCACATTAAGACAAAGCCAAAAAAGTATTGAATATGACAAAAACAAGAACAACCGAGAAACTGAAAAATGGTTTAAGGTAAAAATGATGAGGTTACCTGCTGCGGTTGAGATGGGGGCTTTGGGTTCCATGGAAAATGCAAAGTTTTACGAGGTTGAGGTCTAACATAATCAGTTCTGACAGTAACTGAGATTGACAGAAGAAGAGTTAGTATCAGAAGTACAAATTTTGTTTCCATTTTTTTTCTTTGGTCCTAGAAAGTCTCTTTCCCTTGTGAAACACTACGGAAGTAAATTTTGATTTTCTTTTGTCTTTACTTCATGAATTGTCCATTTTGAAATGACTGTCTTAGCCTTGTTAAGTTAATGGAATGGTGTTAGGAATACGGTAATGTTGTCATTTTGTGGAAAGATGAAGTTGATATTTGGTTTGACTCTTTCCCTCTCCACCCCCTAACCCTTCAAACACAATTAGTTAGCAATTCCCATGTCAGGAAATCAGAACAAGGAACTACTCAGGCAAACCAATGCAACTGTGCAACTCTAAGATTGTGAATGCTGAATAGCTTTCTGTACAACATGTTGAATTGCTATTAGAGCTCACAAATGGAATCCAGAGTCAGATTTGTAATAAAGCAAACAACACCATATGTAAGTTACAATCATCAAATCAACATATTCTCAGCAGAATAAGCTTTCAAGCTAAAACCCCTTTTTCCTAAATGCAGAAATGAAGCCACATATCTCCTCATATTCTCCTAACATTCACCAAAACTTTGTACTTATCTATGACTCTTTGACCCCAATACTTTGCAAGAAAATTACCTGGGAAATTGTTTCATCTAAAGACAGAGTCCATAAATGCAAAAAGCAAGCAACATGGTGATTCAATCATGAGAAACAAAAATATATTCTCAGAGAACTTTGAATCTGGAATAAACATCAGGACCATAATGAGACACTATTGAAAATGAAATGATGATGTTGCCTACCATAGTAGCAAGAACATTCCCTTGCTTTTGAAACTGCAACTTCATGACTCACTTGTTTACTTGTATCCTGTGGAGTAATTACAAGATTGAACTGGTAGGAATTGTTGCTTCTGTAGCCTCTTTGAGTTCACCGATGCAAGAAAAGGAAAATGAGCAAGAAACCAAGATTTTCTTTAACGTCAGACTATATTTGCATAGCTGCTTATGGGGTCAAGTGAGTGGACTGAGATTGAGAGCATGTGTATTTTCCTGCTAGACCAAGTTTCTGATCCGATTAATATGCTAAGGCGGAAATATTTTAACAGAAATTCACCTAATAACTATCTTTCCTGGCATTAATTACTGTCAATTAATTTTTGCAGAGCGGCCAGTATACCAAGAAGAGCTCAAAGAATGACTAGATAAATATACCCAGGTAATGTCAGCTCCCAATCAAGCTGGCTAACAATCCATTAACCAAGCATTGATTGATGAAGATGCATGTGCAGTGCTTACATGTGAAATGTTCTCTAGTTTAAAACTTTGAATCAAATAGTCAACTGGTTTTATTAATTATTATATAAAGAATTCCTTTTCAAATATCAAAAAGTAAACGATGTTCTAGTCAAAGAGATCCGGCTAGTTGCTTGGTGTTTACATACTTTCTTCCGCGTAATTCTGATTTTCTGTCTTCCTTGCTTTTATTCTTTTGACTTTGTTCCATCAATTGTTCTGTTTGAATATCAAAGTTGAAGGTGCAATGTTCTGTTCATCCTCATTCATTTCCTTGTGAGAGAGTTTTGTAAAGAGAGAAGAAAAAGGAGCAATACCCCAGTAAACATTGATCCTTTTGTTCTAGAGTTTCTGATATGATTGAACTGCCCTCATTCATTTTTTATGTTCCTAAGTTTCTTTAAACTCAGAGAGGGAAAAGAACGAAGAAAAAAAATCTAATATCTTTTTGGCTTTCATATCCTGAACTGTGGAACGTGCTGTGGAAAGGGCTATAAAAGACTATGAAGACTCCAAATGAGGTGAGCTTCAAGGGCCTTTATACATATGATTCTGTGAGTTTGTGCATGCTCTCCCTTTCTGTTTGGTCAGAAAAAAGCCTTGTTTCTATCTGCTAGGACCATTGGTGGTAGATTTCTTTTTGAAAAACTGATGTAGTTCATATTCTTCTGCAGATAAATAACTAGTGATTAAAGTTGAAATTAGGTTGAGTTTTTTTCCTCTTCAGACATCTTGTGGATTGATCGGTGACTTATATCACCTGTAGTGTGCAGTTTCAAATAAGTATTGCTAGTAAGGTACTCAGCAAAGTTCTCAAAATTTCTTCTTCAAATTTTGTGACCCTGTCACTGAGATTCCATATAATTACTAGCAAAGTGTTTTTTGAATTTCAGATTGTCAGGGATGGCTGATCAAATTGTTCTAGCTGTTGCTGCAAAGATTACAGAATACCTGGTTGCACCAGCAATTTGTCATCTTAGTTATGCGTTCCGTTTTGCCAGTAATGTTGAGGACCTCAGGAAAGAGACTGAAAAGCTGACAGTTTCGCAAGGGCGGTTGCAAAATGATGTCAATGAAGCCATAAGGCAAACTGAAGAAATTGAAAAAGATGTGGAGGACTGGCTTACAGAGGCAAACAAAGTCCTGGAAGATGTGAAGCTCCTGGACAGTGAAATAGAAGAAAACAGAAGGTGTTTTAATTGGTGTCCTAATTGGTACTGGCGTCATCAATTAGGTAAGAAAGTAGCAAAGCAGAAGCTCAATGTTGTTCAGCTTCAAGAGACTTCCAAATTTCAACGAGTAGGACACCGTGCTACCCTTCCTGTAATAGAATTCTTACGACTCAAGGATTTTATGCCATCTAAATCTTCAGAGAAAGCTTTCAATCAGATTATGGAGGCCTTGAAGGACGATGATGTGAGCATGATTGGACTGTATGGAATGGCCGGAGTAGGTAAGACAACCATGGCAAAAGAAGTTGGAAAGAAAGCCACAGACCTGAAGCTTTTTAATTTAGTAGTGATTGCTGTTGTCTCTCAGACTCCAAATATCAAAAACATTCAAGGTCGGATTGCAGACTCATTAGATTTACGGTTTGAAAAGGAAACTGAAGAAGGACGAGCAGCTCAGTTATGGCATAGACTGCAGGAAAAAAAGAAGATCTTCATAATCCTTGATGATGTTTGGAAGGAACTCGACTTGGCAGCTATAGGAATTCCATTTGGTGCTGATCATAAGGGTTGCAAAATTCTTCTCACAACACGACTTCAATATGTATGTACCAGAATGAGAAGCCAAATGAAGATTCAACTAGATGTTTTATCCAATGATGAAGCCTGGACCTTATTCAAACACAATGCAGGTTTAAATGATGCACCTGGCTACGGTGAATTGATTGATGTAGCACAAAAGGTTGCTGGAGAATGCAAGGGATTGCCTCTTGCAATTGTAACTATTGCCAGGGCCCTAAGAGAAAAACCTCTAGATGAGTGGATAGTAGCAAATCGTCAACAACAAAAAAGCTCTCAGCTTGCAGAGAATCAAGATTTCTGTGAAGATATCTATGGATGTCTTAAGTTCAGTTATGATTACTTGAAGGGAAGAAAAATCAAGTCATGTTTCTTGTTGTGTTCCCATTTCCCGGAAGATTATGAGATTAGTATCGAGCAGTTGACTAGATATGGAATTGGCCAATGCTTATTCCAGGATGTTAACTTCATTGAAGATGCAAGGAGAGAAATGCGAGTAATATTAACCAATCTCCAATACTCTGGTTTGTTGTTGGACACTGGCAATGAAGAAACTGTGAAAATGCATGATGTCATCCGTGATTTTGCCCACTGGATAGCGTCAGAAGCAGAGAATGTGATGATAAAAGCAGGCCTTGGGTTAGATGAATGGCCAAATTCTGAAAGCTTGAGATGTTGTAAAACAATCTCCTTGATGAACAACAAAATAGAACATCTTCCTGATAAATTGGTATGCCCAAAACTGGAAACTTTATTGATGAGTGGGAATCCTTTGATGGCTATTTCAAGTTCATCTTTTGAAGGGATGAAAACCCTCAAAGTATTAACTCTTTCAGGTGGGTTATTGCCATCTCTGGGAGGAATTCTATGGTTGACAAACCTGAGAACCTTACACCTAGAGGGATGCAAACTCCATGACATCTCATCATTGGGACAACTGTACAAACTTGAGATTCTAGACTTTGGTGGTTGTTATCTCGATAATATAGCAGATGAAATAGGGGAATTAACTAATTTAAGATTGCTAGATCTGTCCTATGCTGATGGACACTGGAAAATTCCACCTAATCTGATACGAAGGTTATCCAAACTGGAAGAGCTATATATTGGTGAGTTTAGCTTTAGCCAATGGGCCGTTGAAGGGAGAGGTGAGGAGGCAACTACTGCTAGTTTATCAGAGCTGAAATCATTGTCCCGTTTAACTGCACTAACAATGAAGGCTAATTCTATATGTTTGCCAAGATACTTTGTCTTCCCTAAATTACAAAGGTACAAGATAGCAATAAATCAATGTTTTGACCACCGCTATCCAAGCTCAAGAAGCTTGAAAATTGCAGGATTCCCGTTAAGTCCTTTTAAGGAGCTGTTTTCTGATATTGAGTACCTTGATTTGGATAGTATCATTGGCCATCAATGCCTTGTTCCAAGCTTGGATCAAAGAGGTTTAAACAAATTGACTTTTCTTTGGCTCAGACGTTGTAGGCATATGCAATGCCTGATTCAGACAGTACAGCAGCAGGTTCCTGCCCTTGCATTGTTTAATCTAGCAGAATTATTCATTGAAGATATGGTTTCCTTGACAGAGCTATGTAATGGTCCGAAACCAACAGGTTTTCTACAGAAATTAGAAAAGTTTACTGTGAAAAGTGGTGCCGCTATGATCTCTACAGTTCCAGTAGAAAAACATTTAAGAGAGGTGACTGTCATAAACTGTCCTATGTTGCTAGCAGTGTTTCAGTTGGATAGTCTGCTACATACTGGGGAAGAAAATCATGCCATACTGCTTTCAAACTTGGCTTACTTAGAGCTTGAGCTATTACCTAACTTGGTGCGTATATGGGAAGGGCCCATCGATCGTGTAAGCCTTCAGAGTCTTAAGACTGTGAAAGTACAGAGTTGTGATAAATTGGCATCTCTCTTCTCTCCAGTGCTTGCTCAAGGTCTTTTGCAACTTGAAACACTTGAAGTACATGACTGCTCTGGAATGAAGCATATTGTCCAAGAAACAGTTGACTCTGATTCCCATCCTCTGGGCTTGCCAAAATTAACAACTCTAAAGATCTCTTCTTGTGATATTTTGGAATATGTTTTTGCAAACTCTACAGTCCCAGATTTTCCACAGCTAAAAGAAATTAACATTACTAATTGTACTCAGTTGAAACAAGTTTTCAGCCTTGGAAAAGAATTGGATGGCAGGGACATTGTTCTACCTCAACTACAGTTGTTAGTACTTAAAAACTTAAAAAGCTTGAGCAGTTTCTGTCCCGAAAACTGTGTTATTGTGCAGCCATCTTTGGACGTGTTAGAGATTGAAGAATGCCCCTTGTTGGAACCTTTTACTTTTGAAGACATGACGAAGGCTCAAATCAAGGTATTTCTATTCTCATTTAGAGTTCTTTTTTGGTATTTCTTGTGTCCTGGTTGCAGTTCATCAAATAGTCTACTTCATAGGAGAGATAACTCCAACCCATTTGTTAGTTCAAACCCTCTCATACCACTTTGGTTGGATAGACCATTTTGTTAGTTCACAGTAGCAGTTGATGAATATTTCTACTCTAATGCACTGGTTTTTGTCAATCTCTTGCTTCGGCACCAGACCTAAATATAATCTAGCCTTACCAGAGGAATTGCAACTTATCAATGCAGAGTTAGATATACAAGAAATAGAGTAGAGTATATTTGTGTTCTTAATTACTTACTAGCCGGTCAGGAAATGATACTTATTTGACACTCAAACTGTTGAATGCTCATTTATCAGATAAATGGGGAATTAGGATTGGTTAATTTTTTTTCTTTTAATTTGTTTGTGTTAGCCTTGCCTGAGCTGTGCAGCAAATTTTTGTTCTGATATCAATTGACATTATCTATCTGGTCTAACTGTTGGCTATATCCACAGAAACTATGGCTCTCTAAGATTGGAAATAACTGTCGACAGTGCAACAGTGTTGGCATCCAGGGAAGACAGAGGTCACCTGATATGGAATATTTAACAGTTGGCAACTGTGAAGAGATATTTCAACTTGAAGGCGGATTCTTCCTCTCAAGTCTGGAGAAACTACAACTGAAAGATCTGCAAGAGTTACAAGTGATATGGAAAGGTCCTTCACAGATTGCAACCCTTCAAAACCTTACTCATCTGGAAGTAGTTGAGTGTAAGAGACTAAGACATATCTTCTCACCTATGCTTGCTCGAAATTTTCTGCAATTGAAGGACCTACATTTGGAAGGATGTGAGGAACTGGAGCAAATCATTGTCAAAGATCAAATTTCATTATCTTCTTCAAAGGATCGTCTTCAAGCTATAAGCTTCCCTAATCTGACCAAAATATGGATAAACAACTGCGACAAACTGAAAATTCTCTTCCCTGTTAGTGCTGCTCGTGGTCTTCCAAAACTTGAAGAGTTGAAAATAGAAGAGGCGTCAGGTATAGAGCAAGTGTTTGGACATGAGGATGGAGCAAACATTACAAATGAAGAGGATATGGCGCTTCCTAAGTTAAAGAAATTAGATATCCTCCACCTACCAAGCCTTGTCAGTTTCTGCCCATCCGATTATCTTATAATGTTCCCATCATCGTTCACTGCAACAGTAGAAGACTGCCCCAACTTGACCACATGTTTCACTGTTGATATAAAAAGCTTGATACCTTCTGGCACACAGGTAAACACACCAATTTCTTTTCCCGATATGAGGAGTTGGATGCTATTATTGATGGTACTAATAAAAGAAAAAGAACATATCGAATTCTCTCATTCAAATTCCGCTGCAGATGAGTTGTTAATGTCGTAGAGACAAAATACTATACAATGCAACATAGTATTGTCCTAAACTTTTATGCGTTGATCAAGTTAAGACTCAAGAGTAACACACACTTCAGTTCTTCAAAACAAAATTGACTAGTTTGCTGTTAGCAGGCTTTACTTGAAATACCTAAACAGATGATAGTTTTCTCAAGTACTTGATGCATTCCTCTTACCGTGTTTAGAATTTTTACCATTCGTTAACAACCATTTGCATCTTTTTCAAGCACTTAGGAGTTCAATCAGGTGAAGTATCCAACATGTTTGACTGTGAAAATTTCTACTGCTAAATTTATTGTTTCTACTCATTTTCGAAAGAAAATGAAATAAAGTTAAGCAATGTTGGTTACTGATTTGATGTGATGGAATACTTGTATTTACAGAAGCCACGTCTTCAAAAGGAAAAGAGACTGTCTAAAACACAGGGAAAATGCTTCCTAGATTTGAAAGAATTGAGAATTAAAAGTTGTGGAGTGCAAGAGGTGTTTCAGCTCAAGGGTCTTCCTCTTCTAACTACAACCGAAGAACATCAATGCTACTGCTCAATGTTGGGGAACAAATTTGACATATTTGACATACTTGAGTCCTGCAAGAGTTTAAGCCTTAGTGGTCTTACTACTTTGGAGCTGTCCAAATGTAAGAGATTGAAACACATTTTCACACCCACCCTTGCTCGAAATCTGCCACGGCTGAAGGACCTGAGTATATGGGAATGTGAGGATTTGGAGCAAATCATTGCCAATGATGATGGTAAGGGAAGGGACCAAAGTTTAACATCAACATCATCAAGGGGTCATTTTCAACCTATATGTTTCTGTGCACTGAATAAAGTCAAAATTGGAAGCTGCAATAAAATGAAAAGCCTCTTTCCGGTTAATGTTGCTATGCCAAAACTAGAAATACTCAAAGTTGAAGGTGCTTCAGAACTAAAGCAACTATTTGGAGATAAAGATGAAGAAGCAGGTGCTCAGGAAGAGAAGCAAATAGTGCTCCCTCAATTGTGGATGTTGGATCTCCTTCAACTCCCAAGCCTTATCACTTACTGCCCAAGGGGTTACCATCTTTTAATTCCCAATTTGATTTACTCAAAGGTTGAAAATTGTCCCAAGCTTTGTGTGAATGCCAAGACATAGAGGTATCTGCAATATGCACTGTTACTGATTTTTGTCTATTTGTTATGTGCTATACTGCTTGCTAACAAAAAATTAGTACTAATTCTTGTTCTTTATGTCTCTCTTTGTTTGGTTTTGAAGGCTACCTACAGGATAAACAAAGATGCATCAGAAGAATCAGAATACAGTTTAACAAGAATGTAAAACCAAGTTAAAGCATCAATCTGAATTATACTAGCTTCTCTGCTGCTACATGTTTAGCATATTAACAAGTTTCATCTACCTCAGTTGTTTTTGGGTGGTTCATTTGTATCAACATCCTAACCATCTTTAGTATTGCATACATGAATAAATAGGTGGTTGATCAAGCTTTGACTTCCCACCCCTTCATTCAATGGATTTGTCCAAGTGACAGGATGTTTGTTTTCAATATCATTTTGGTTCTTTATTTCATATATTCTTACAAATTACAACTGAATATTACAAACACTCAACAGCATTTGAATGGATGAATCAAAAGGGAATTCCAAGCTAGTATCACTTAAAAATATACTTGACCGCCTGGTATATAGTCTATATAGTATATAGCATGAATCAGACACTACAAGAAGTTGTTTTCCTTCAAGCTCTTGGAAAGTATCCTTTAAACTAAGGTTAAAACCTAGGCCTTTCACTCTCTCCTGAGGTACCTGAAATGCTAGCATATAGAATATTGCTTCTCATCTGTGCATCTGCCATAACCAAAAAACACGTTTGGTATTCACTCAGATGTCTATTAGCATAACCAAATCAGATATATTCTAACACTTGAAGCTTAGGAGTGAACCAAATAATCCATGCAATTAACTAGGCAAATTAATTTAAAAAAGAAAAACCTTCTTGTTTTTTTATTAATACTATATTAGTGTTACAAATTTCCTATACCTACTCTTATTACTTTGTCGTCATAGATTTTGGACAAATACCCAGAATTGGCAACTGAGGACTCATCAGCAATCAAACAAAGGCTTGAAATAACAAACTCGGCAGTTGTTGAGATGGCATTGGAAGCAAGCCTAGCTTGCATAAAGGAATGGGGAAGGCCTGCTACTGATGACATCGCCCAAATCATCTATGTTTCTTCCAGTGAGATACGCTTACCTGGGGGTGATCTTTACCTTGCTAGCTAGCCAACTTGGCCTGAAAAATGATGTTAACCGAGCAATGCTCTATTTTCCTGGTTGCTATGGTGGTGTCCTTGGCCCTCGAGTAGCCAAAGACATAGCTGATCACAATCCAGGAAGTTCTGTTCTGTTAACTACCTCTGACACCACCATCCTTGGTTTTCGACCTCCGAGCAAAGCACGCCCTTATGACCTTGTTGGTGCAACACTTTTTGATGATGGAGCAACAACAGTGATCGTTGGAACCGATCTAATAACGAGCACAGAAACCCCATTCATGGAGTTTAACAGAATTTCATGACTTGGTTCGGGCCGTGCATCCTGGAGGACCATTTACACTTGACCGCTTGGAGAAAACTTTCAAACTGAACAATGGGAAATAGAATGAAGCAGGAGAGCATCGATGGACTATGGAAATGCTAGCACCAATACCATTTTCTACGGCATGGAACACGAGGCAGGAGTTGAAGAAGAAAACGGCCCATTAATGAGGTTTTCCCTTCCTTCCTATGCACGGCCCAGTATCAGTAAAGTGTTCAAAAGTATGTCCTGTAGCTTCCCCTCTGCCATTTCCATTTGCCCTTCTTTACTGTGCTGTGAATCTTTTTGCAATGTGTTTACGCTGCTCTGGACACCAGTGTAAAGTTAAATCATACTAGAATTCTGCTCCCTTGTTTCACTTGCTGTTTTCTGTGCATCTTGTCTCAATTGCAACTGATGCTGTTGCCAACATTTAGTTTGATATAAGCTTTCCTCTCCAGCCTTCTATCTTTGATATAAGATCATCTTTTGCAAGAACGTTTCGTTCCTATTTCCAACATTTACTATAAATTTTCATCATTTTTTTAACAATAATTATGGATATTTTTTATATTTAAAAAAGAGAAATTTAAATTCTATTTTTTAAGAAAAAATTTATTTATTAATTAATAAATTAAGTGTTCAGATACATAATTTTGAATATTTTATATGCATTCATTATCGGTAAAATGGTTAGATTAATATGGTGCTCTAATCCTTCGATCTTATCCAGTAGGTAGAGAGACATTTTTCCATTAAAGTCATTAAATTGGCCAAGCAGGTAGGGCATAAATAAATGGACCATGAGGGGAAAATGGTTGCAAAATGACAAAAATATAAAGAACAACGATAGAGGAATCACATTAATTATTCAATAATTTTTATTTTTCAATTTTTATTAAAAGGTTCGGACAAATTGAGATATCTACAATATTAATTTATTAATTTTTTTAACATATCTTAATGGATACACTTTCTAATTTCATTTATAAATTTTTTTTAACTCCATCACCGTTTATTGAATTATTTTTATAATTTAATTAACTCAAAAGCTAATTGATAAAAGTTGAAAGGAGCATTAAACCCAGATTTCTCTTTTAATTTTTGTTTTATTTCAACAACATAAATACATTTTTATTGTTTTTTTAATTAATTCAGACTTATCACACACTACAAAAAATTTGGTTTCTTTTTTACAAAAAAATTGAAAAAAATTTATTTTTATTTTTTTAATAAAATTTTGACATATTTCCAACAGAAAATTTCTATTGAAAATTTTTTGACGCAAAAAAGATTTACTCCTATCAAACTTTTTGATTAATTTTGGCTGAAATTTTTCAATAAAAAATAATTTATTAAAAATCTATCTGAAAGTTTAAAGTGTCTTCAAACTTTATAATAGAATTCCGTTTGAAATTTTTCAACAAAAAATAATTTGTTAAAAATCTATCTAAAAGTTTAGGACATTAAAAAAATTTAAAACTTGCTAAATTTTTTAATAAAATTTTTTGTTGGAATAAAGCCATTATCAACAAAATATTCTGTTGGAGAATTCGGTCAATAATATCATTTTAAAAATTTTTAATTTAAAGTATATTACAATTTTTTTAAAATTTTATTAATTTTTTATAAGAAATATACTAATAAAATTTATGATATTAAATATTTAAATACGTTTTCTTTTATTTATTATTTTTGAATATTTTAAAAATTGTATAAAATTATAAATTATAAATTGTTTATTTCAAATTAATTAATGTTATAAAATTAAAAAATTTTAGAAAAATAATGTAATAAATTTTTTAATTTTATAAAAATAGATGATAAAATTTAATAATATTTTAAATGAAAACCAATAATAAATCAAAGGTATTTCCAAGTTTAGCCCCGTCTTTGGATGACAAGTGAGGAGATTTACTAAATAAATAAGTCATAGTCTATCACATACCTATATACACATTAAATCAATAACATTTAATTTCAAATTTTCAAATAAATGATGTATAGACTTAGTAATACAATTGAGTGACAATATTCAGATATATATATATATATATATA